TGTCAAATTTGTTCAACTACTCAATTCGAAAACCAAAACAGTTGCTCAAACTAGCTGAAATATTCCTGAAAAATAAAAGCTTTATTCTCAAAAGAATCCACTGGCAATGATTCTACCTGAAAACAGCACGATCTCGACTTGTGTGATACAGAAATACAAAGAATCCCAAGACAGAGACTTCACAGAAAGATCCAAACTTGAAACAGTTGACAAGGTAACACAAGCATCAAATAAGCTAAAGGCATTATACAGCTCGTATGATCGGTTCCCGAACCAAAAGACCATATTCATTCGTTTTTCGCGAAGATTATAATTTTAAAAGTTGGATAGAGAAAGTGGAATACCTATCGGGATCCATTTGTTCTTCGTCCAGCGAATCACAAAACTACGCCGATTTAGCGTCGTTGTTCTCCGGGGAGAAATTTCGAAAGGACGTTTCAGTTCAGAGAAATTGCAAAGAACCTCTCTCTCACACAGAGGTTTTGGGTATCGCTCTTTCTAGCCGAAATTACCAAATCTTACGGTGATTGGGATTAGTAAATAACTTTTGGTTTAACTGACGGTTAACACAAGACGAAGATAAATGTACAGTATAAAGAAATAACAGGAAACAGATGACATTGTATTCAAAAAAGTCAAAAAAATGGATTTCTTCAATCTAGAAATGAAAAACATAGTCTGTGTAAGATTTGTTCGCTGAAATACTTTGGATGACAAATTACATTTTACAACACGATGAAATATGATCCGAAGACCAGATTACATGGTTCAATTCAATCATCGTCACCTCTCACTTCATTGCTTGGATGATTGTGCTTCTGAGCTTGGTACATATCAGCAATCTGAAACATGCAGAGGAAAATGAATATCAGATAAAGGCAAAACAACTTCAAAACCAGGCATTGGTCATAACATGACAATGGTTAGGAGGATGAGGACTTGACCTGTTCAGATGATGTTGCGTCCTCTGGCTTCTTGTCTTCCCTTACACGGAGTAGGCGAGGAAATCGTAGAGATATTCCCTTTCAACAAAACAAAATTGAAACAAGTCAATAGGTAACAACTTCCCTGTCTACTCAAAACTCAAAAGTAAATCAGATTGCTCAATGGTTTATAAGAAATTTGATGACAATGTTAAACCTTTTCAGGGTCCACAATGCCAGTAGCTGCACAATGCACAGGGCTAATTGTCAGGTCAGCTGCTTTCACTTCCCAGACCTCAGTGGGCTCGAACCAAACATCTGGATTGAAGTTGTCTTTAACTCGGTAGTATTGCTGGATATTTGAATCGTCACAATCATCAAGAACTCAGACATGATATTGCTGTTAGCACCAAAGAAAAAATGGCAGAGAAAGGAAAGAAATATCATACTTTTGGAGTAGCAATCACTTTAGAACGAAGACTGGTAGACCGCTCTTCAAGCACGGATTCAGAAAATCCAGTACCTAGTAGCCAAAACCGTAAAACCAAGATATAAGAAACTTGAGAAACTGATCACAAACACGTTACCAAAAAAAAAAAATGAAATGCACTGACCGATTTTACAAATGCTCTGATATTCTTCCTTATCAACATCGTAGCAGGCTAGCAAAAATGCACCAAAGACACCTACAAGGAAAAGCGTGTAGCTTTGTTAACAACATGAAGGGTGAAAATGTATCACCCAATATACTGTAGTTTGAATGTTTCTCACCTGTGCGTTTGCCACGTCCATGGAAAGCAGCAATTGGTACAAGATCTACAGAGTCTCCGATGCTGCATATTTAACCCTAAGGTGAGCAAAGAACTCAGATTTCAATATTTTAACCAATTGTTTTTTCTTTAAAGAGAATATTGCCTGTCCATGTAGTCTTTCTTCAGCTTTAGCCAATTATTCGATCGCTTTGCAGGCTCATAGGTAGCATCTGAGTTCAATGTTTTAATGATTAAACCTTCACAGCTACAAAAAGAACATATACAGATGAAGAACTCGAACAGAATGTTTACTGCACTTGTTAGAGATACATAGAAGTGTAAGATATATACCCAATGTCAACAGAAGCGTCAAGAAACTTTTGTATTTCCTCGATATCGCTGGATGTTAGAGCAGTTGCAAACTGAAAATACCCAGGATCTTCCTCAAATGACTCGTATAGCTTCTGCTAGAAGCAAGGTGCACACAAATGATTACATATTTGCACAACAAATTACTTCATGAAACCAGAGAAAAAACATATTTTGATGATTAACTGACTCACCTCTCGGCGAATATTAAGATTCTCCTGGATAAGTTGTTGGCCATTAAGATATAACATGTCAAAAGCAAATATGCATACGCCAACTTTGATATCATTGACATTCACATTTTTACGGGCTCGAGTGCTCAAAACCTGGAGGAAGAGATATATAACAAAGTACCATACTTTCAAATGAGTAGACAGAATTGAAGACTAAAACCATATTTGAATATCAGAACTTTGCTATTCGCTTATGAGTTACCTGGAACGGAAGGATTTTCTTTTTCTCCCTGTCAAAAGCAACAACCTCACAATCCAGAATAAAAGATTTCACAGAGGGCTTCTTTAATCTGCATAGAGAAAACTATCATAAGTCTCTAACTTCAGAAAAAAAGATTGGCTCTTTCTAAAGCTTTCACCAAGTTTACCCAGAAGTCTACCTTGATAACGCAATAGCAACATCGGGGTACTTCCCAGTGTTTCTTTCAGCATTTCGACTATATATCTCGAATGTACCATCCTCCATATAATGTACCTGCAGTAATCACGATTGATGCCAAGCAAAAATTAATGGCATATTTACATAACTCCACTCAAAGAATAGCAGTCATCGGATTTAAGTAGAGACTGATATATCACCTGAGCACGTTCTCCATCATATTTGTATTCGCATGTGAAGACGGTGTCCTGGAATTTATTCAGTATCTCACCTACACCTTTGGTTGGTTTGGCAAGCATGGGTCCAATTGGAACGCCCAGTGTAAAGTTACAAGTTTTAGGAAGATTCCACACACCACCAGTTAGAAGAGCAGGAACAATAATGTCATAGACAGGAAGCACGGTAAACACTTGTTTAACTATCTTCGCCGCCTAAGAGGACAGAGCAGAAGGATAAATCTCAGAAAATCTATCGTTTCTCAAATAACTTAGAAAGAATGGATTCTGATATGAAAATGAGAAATGCAAAAATCTAAACGAGAAAGCACAAACCTCTTCTAAAGGAGACTTGATATTTGAGGGTGGCTTTGAGTGCTCTTCATTATATACAGCGGCTTGTCCCAATGCAGCTAAGACCGTCTGATTTGAGAACCCTAACCGCAGTTTTGCCTGGAAGGTAAAATTCAGCAGGGCTGAATAAGGAACCTAAAGTAATGAGCCAGAAAAAGTAATGAGCATACCTGAAGTAAACGAGTTAAGTAAAGAGGTTCACAGTCTGTTGCTGCCACAAGAAGTGCCTTCATTCGATCCTTCTTCTTTTCTGTACTATCTTTTCCACTTTCCTACGATAATTAACACGCAACAGTCCCACTCATCTCTCATGCAAAAGAAGATTGATTGAATCTCATTCAACACATAACCAAAAATTCAAGTATTCAAAAGCCACAAACAAGAATGGCTTTGTAAGTAAGTACCTTAGCAATTAGTCTAAATGTATTGAAAACCTTGACAACAGTCAATGGTTCAGGCTTGAACATCATAGTCTGAGACGAACGGCTTCCTTTAGCCACAAGCCCCAAGTCTCCCAGCTCCTATAAGCCAAGTTGTGATACAGTAAACAACAACAAACACAGCTTCCAAATCAATTTCAGAGCCACATTGGACAACATACCGTGTTCAGCTTCTTAACCTGCGCCTCAGTTCTACCAAAAGCTTCGGAGATTGCCTTGATAATAGAACCTTCACCGATTCCCAATTCAATCCCTTCATGAGCAGGAGCAATCTCATTCGCCGCAAGGTAAACAGTAGCGGTCAAATCATCAGGAGTAGTGGCAATAACAGTTCTCAACATGTTGCAGAGAATATCAGTGATCACAATCCGGCCACTTTCATTTGAAATCAGATCAAAAGCCAATGCGAGAAACAGAAACGGAACATTCTCCCTTTCCTCCCAGCAAGACACTTTCTCCGGATTGAAATCACCGGGCTTCGTCTTCAGCAATCTAATTTTGGTCTTCATTTCCTCGATTTTATCCGTCTTGCTCAAAGTCTTAGCCTTTTTCACTCCGCTCTTCGAGTCTTCCGGCGTATCCGATCTGGGTTTCGCGGAATCGGATACAGTCTCCACCGGATCCTCCGTTTTCGGAACCGAAACAAGAGGCTTCGCCAAATCGGAGTCTTTGATTTCCCCGATTTTCCTTTTGTTCGGCGAGCGAGACGGAGCAGAGGACTGGGGCGGCGTCTTCTTCTTGGCGGATGCGCGAGCATTGGACATGAGAGCGTCAAATGCGGAAGGTCGAGATGAAGACATGGCTCTGTGGCACGAGCTCAGACGCAATTGAGAAACTTTACGGTTGAAAGACAGCAAGACGGAGGAGAATTGAGAAAATTGAGTTTTGGTACAGAGTGAATTTATACAACGGAAGTAATTCGATGATCGAATCGCTAGCATCAAAAACTCAATCACAAGGAAAAAGTCTTATCCTTTTCTTGTCAACAGTAGAAGAAGAAGATGAAAAAGAGTCTCAAATTAGGGTTTTAGAAAGAACATCTGTCGAAAATCTCGAACGCGAAGAAATGTAATATTATGGCGGCAGTATTTCCCCCGCCACAACACTATCTCTTTCTTTTATGGAAAAATAAAACGGAAATTAAGAAAAGGAAAACGGATTAATTTCGTATCTTGTTCTAATTACATATCTTTCCCACTGTGCTTGTGTTTTTTATATCATTACAACACACAATATCTACTTTGGGTTTCCTAGTGCAACACAAAGATCCTTTTACGATTTTGATCGTAAAGATCTCAAGATTGAAAGCTAATTTAATTCTAGGGAAAAAAAAAACTACTCATTTTCTTGTTGTTGGACGATCAAGACGGAGGCTCTAGAAGGAAAATATTCAGATGCTAACAAATCTCCAATGACTCCAAGTTCGTCAAACTCCATCCAATCCCTGAGTCCTTTAGTGACCGCAGTACCAATCCCGCTACTTCTCCCGACTAGAAACAGATCATAGTCATAACTCACCGAGTGCAATATCTTGGAAGTCTCTCTCCCATCTGCCACCGTCATATCAATGTATGTGATGGAGTTATCTTCTTCAGGCTTCTCTTCGTGGCCGTTCGTGTCTAACGTTTGGTCACTCTGATTCGACTCGTTGCTCTCGTCGGTCTTAGCCATAGGGATCAGACGCAGCACCGTTAGAGAAACTTGTTGGTTACCTCTCATGTGCTCTGCTAATGCTAAGGTCTCTTTGTCGTCGTCCCCTCCCACGTAAACCAAGCACACCTGCATTGGCATTTATGTGTGTGACAATCAATAAGAAAAGATCCAACGTCTTTTAGTTAGATAAAGTGAACAAAGATTAAGTTACTTACACGACATGGCGTGTCTACGGATTTGGTTTGCCAAATTGGTTTGCGATAGACAAGGATTCCGACAGAGCACGGTGCACGTTTCAGGACGTTACGGTTAAGACTTCTCAAGGTTTGGTCGTCGGAGATGATGTCAGCCCCATTAGCATCCCACGTGCGGTGAAAAGAGAGGAGAATAAGATTCGAAGTTTTATCAAAGGCGAACCTACATATGTGTTGATGCATCTCTCTTGCGGATGTTAAAGAAGTGAACATGTGTACAGAAGTGTTGTCCTGATGAATCATCTGTTGAAACAGTTGGAAAGAGCTTATAACGTTTTCGGAGTAAGACCGTCTTCCAGGCTTTGGTTTCTGAAGCTGGTGGGAGATAAACGTTGGAGTAGCTTTGCCAACTAGCTCAAGTAGGTGAAGAACATAACATGCCATTGGAGATTCTTTAGACGAGGACGTAGCTCTTAGAAGGCTGATCATGGATGTTATGTGGTCAGGCTTGTTGATGCACACCAGCATTTGCAGTTCCGACTTATGTTTCAAGTTCCTTTGTCCGTAACTCACAAATCTCTTGGACCGGTCATACAAGAAATGTATAGCCATTGGTGTTAACAAAGAGTTTGCCAAAATGTATACGCCTATAAGCGTGAAGGTCTCCAGACTCATTCCCTGTTCAAACAAAATGCATGGAGACATACAAATTAGTGAAATGATATGATGATCATATATACTTAAATATGTAATGTAATTATATTGTAGCAAGAAGATATTCTTACGCCTTTTTCGTAGGCGTAGAGTACGTAACCCAACTCAAAACTACTCTTGGTGCCAAGAACGAGACCTAGAATAACTGAGTCTCTCAATGGCATTTTTGCAGATACGGCAGCGAAGAAGGAAGTTGCGAATTTCGCCACGTACAAGACGAAAAGGAATGAAAAACACTCGTAGATATGTCCATGGAGATGTTCTCCATTTCCAAAACCTTGTAGTAGAAATGACCAATCTAGTTTAATCATGGTGAGTGATCCAAAGAGGGGTAAGAATATGCCCTCGTTGAAGCTGTCGAACTTTTGTGTAAACATTGATCCTAATGGTGGCCCGTCGGGTATAGCCAAACCAAGAATAAAAGCCCCCAGTGGTCCGAAGAACAAGAAGTGACTCCAGTAAAGGTAAGACAAGTAAGCTAGTAGGAGAGCAATGTAGAGATATATGTTCTTCACAGGTGCTCCCTCTGGTGTATGTCTTATCACCCAAAGCATGGCTTGTCGCACAAGGTACAAGAAAACGAAGTAGACTATTAAAGCAGCTCCCACACGCATACCATTATAATACTCGCGGCTAGCGTGAGCCCATACGCTCAAAACAAAGGCAAGCACATCAGTTACCATTGCCGAAGACTGAGCGATTTGGCCGAACTCAGTATGAACTATCTTGAGGTCTGTAAGGAGCAAGTTCATGCAAGTGAAGGGCGTCATGGTCATGGAGAATACGAGTAGATGATACTCTTTACTCGTCATGCTTAAGATACTTGATTTATCTCTAGATGTATATACAAGTTTTCCGATATACCCATGGGATGATCATTGAGCTGATTCCAATTACAACACTCTTAGTTTTGGACTTTTTCATCATGCTAACATCTGTAGTCACACCTCTTAGGAACCAGTTTAGGACAAAAGCAAATGTGCCAATGGTCTCAGCAACGTTTGGCATATAGTCATTGTCAGAGGTAAAGATGTCTCGAAACCATGACATTTGCACAGGCTGAAACGCCTCGCTTAAGACTGCCCCAACCTTTAAGATCGCACAAGAGGAAAATGTGTCATTATTGTCCAGAATAGCCCTAAAACCTAGATATATCTAAAACCCGTAATTACTTACAAGCATCATGGAGGTAAACCTAGGAATAGGAACACCTAACTTCCTGAACAAGATATCGAAGAAACGCCAAAATATGAATGTGGAGAGAATTGTGATCTCTAGTTTAGGAAGAGGGTACTCTCAGAACGACAATCCTTCAGATCCGGAAGCCATTTTCTCCCACGCACCATGAGAGTTCAACATCACATGTGGACTTACATCGCAGAACATCCTCGTTTCCATGTATGCTGTGTTCACATGCGCGTCCCGCATCATCTCTTTGTGCCAATTCGCCTTTTGAGCATCCATTTGGGAAAATCTTGTCAATGAATATGCTTGGCTTTGCAGTCAAAGAAATAACTAAAAAGACCTGATGGGTTTCAATATATGTAACTCTAGAATTAGTAGTGTTTCAATATAGCGATCTTTTTTTTTATCGCGTTTGCAAGTTGGTATTGCTTTAAAATAACACCATCTCATTATGGTTACACACTCCAAATAAACACTCTAGCCATTTTTAATTAGATGACCCATTTAGACATCAAAAAATAATTTTTAACGCGTAATAAGATTAATTTAACATTTGGGGTCTCACTTAGTATGTTAAACAAACCATTATTACAGGATAATCTATTTTTTGAATATAACTAGGGAGGCTATAGTTAGAAAAGGATCATGCAAGCTCTGCTGATGGCTCACAAGTTCTTCAGAATATTTTTTTTAATTTTTTGGGAGTTGCTCTGTTTTTGTCTGTATTCTCATACTTGGCCGTTTGTAACTTCATGGGGCTGCATTCTTTGTTTCAACTTTGGAAACCTTGTCCTTAGAAAGAGTATTTTCTTTTGGGATTTAATGTAAAGATATCAAATTAAACAAGTTTTGCTTTCAGAATTCTCTTTGTTCTCTCTCCAAGTTTATGTTTTAACACTCGAGCGACAACTTAGAGTAAGTTTCATATAAGGCGATCAAAATCTTAAATTTATCATATTCAAAAAAAAACTCGAAATCATTGTACTCAGTGACTTCAATTACATTTCATATACATAATAACCCTAAACTAATCTTCCATGCAGTAAAACACAACATCAAAGATCTGAGCATATATGAAAATATTACTTAGACTCTTTTTCGGCTTTTGGTGTGATGAATGTATTCTTGTTTTTGCACAACCAAAACTGATGATCTAGAAGGAAATTCATGTGATGCTAATAAATCTCCAATGGGTCCCAACTCATCGAACTCTGTCCACTCACTAAGTCCGCTAGTAGCCTCAGTACCTATTCCGCTGCTTCGTCCGACAATAAACATGTCAAAATCATGTGCCATTGCTCGTAATATCTTGGAGGTCTCAGATCCATCAGAAACCTCTTTATCCATGTATGTCACATAGTCTTCATTTTCTTTGACGTTGGACCCAATAATGCTAGTCACGGTTTCCTTCAGGTCAACAATTTTGAAAATCTCCGACGCTTGGCTCTCCGTTTCAGGAGATGGTGGAATGAATCTTATGATAGTTAGTCTTATCCGTTTCTCCAGTCTCATTCGATTTGCTATCGCCAAAGCTTCTCTATCGTCTTTTCCACCGTTAAAAATTAGACAAATCTGCAGAGATGAGAGAGCTTCGTTAATATATAAGGTTATATAATTACACTGGTCAAAAAAAAAATATACATTCAGCATTCCGTTTTCATTTGCGTGCATTCAGACAAAATTGTAAATGCAAACGCCAACACAACTGAAAAAAAAAAACTTTTCGTTTGCTTTTTTCTGTTTGCAAATTTACACATTTTAAAAATATTTTGTGAGAAAACTAAAGTATTAATTTGTTGATTTTTATTAAAATTAAAAAAACAAAATCCAAAAACTATTTTTTTCGAGTATCACTACGTACCTTGCTGTGGTCATCAGTCACGATGGGTTTGCGATAGATTAAGATTCCAACAGAGCAAGGGGCTAGTTTCAGGACGTTGAGGTTGACCATTCTCAGCTTATCATCGCTGGAGACAACCGTTGATCGGTCAACGGACCAAGTCCGGTGGAAAGGAAGCAGAATCAGAGACTGGTTTCTTGATAGGGCGAGCCAACAGATGTCCTCATGCATCGACTTGTACATGGAGACGGAAGTGAAAATATCCAACGATGTATACTCAGAGAATAGTTTGTGGAAGCGACGGAAGGAGTTTATGACATTGTCGGAACAAGAAATACTTCCGGGCTCTGGCTGTTGCAACTGGTGGGAAATGAACATAGGACTGGCTTGACCTAAAAGTTCGATCATGTGGAGTACGTTGCACGCCATTGGTGAATCTTTAGATGCGTCAAAAGCTTCCAAAAGGCTGATCATTGAAGTTATGTGATCAGGTTTGTAGATGCACACAAGAGACTGGAGCTCTGCGCCGTCTTTCAAGATTGCTAAATTCCTTTTTCGGTAGCATTTGAATCTTTTTGATGGGTCATGGATAAGCTCCAAGGCCATTGGTATAAAGATAGAGTTCAAGAGGATGAATGTAGCTAAGATTGTGAAAACCTCTGGCCTTATATCCTGTTACATATGCTCAACAATTTAATAAGGTCGATGCTAATAAACAAAAAGAACAAACCACACATATATATAAAGAAATGGATATTGTACCTTTATTTCAACCGCATAGGCGAAGTAGGCGAGCTCGAAGATACCTTTATTATTAAAAACAAAGGCTAAAGCAAAGGAGTCTCTTAAGGGCATTTTGAAAGAATATGCGGCAATGGTGGAAGCGACGAATTTCGTGGCGTTCACGAAAAGAATAAAGGAAATGACCTCATAAAACTGTCCCTCCATCCGTACGAGGTTTCCACACTCTTTGAGCAACCAGAGTAGATCTACTTGCATCATGCTTAACGATCCAAAAAGTGGCAAGATAGCTCCAAGATTCAAGCTCTCAAACTTCTGAACCAAAGTAGTACCTAAAGGATATCCGTCGGGAACAGTCAGGCCAAGAACAAACGATCCTGCGGGTCCGTAAAGAATAAGCTTGTCGAAAATATGGAAGGAGAAGAAAGCGAGGGCCAAAATCAAGTAGACGTAGATATCCTTGACCGGCCTTCCTTCTGGAGTCTGCTGGATCACCCAATACATAGCCGGCCTCACAGCGAAGACCATCAAGGCGAAAAACAAGCCCGCAAATACCGTTTGATAAATACCGGTATATCCTTCCCAGTGCACCGCATTCAAAAACACTACAAGAAAGGCAAACATATCCGTGACCATGGCCCCGGAAAGCGCAATCCTCCCAAACTCAGAGTGTTTGATCTTGAGGTCTTTTACGAGTGTGTCAATGCTTGTGAACGCGGATATGCTAAACATGAATATGATCAATCTGTATTCTGTCGTTAACAAGCTTATGTTCCCTCTTGCTCTTCTCCATCTGAAGAAGAAGTTTCCACAAATCAAGGGTACAAACATTGTGATGATACCGATCACACTAGATTTTTTCCCCATCTTCAACCCTTTTCCCGCGTCCATGGTCACACCTTTTAGGAACCAATACAAAAGGAACCCGAAAGCGCCCATTGTCTCGGCAACTTTTGGTCGTCTATCATCAGGGAAATATATTTTATGCACCCAAGAGTTGCTGCTTACATGACAAGTTTGACCTAAAATTACCCCTGCCTTCAACAACAAGAAATCATATTTAGAATGCATCCCATTGATTAACATGGGGGAGGGGAGATTAAGAAAGAGAAAAAAAAAAAAAAAAAAAAACTCACGATCATCATATAGGTGAGTCTAGGTACTCGAAGACCGATTTTGTTGCATGTGAAATCGAAGAACCTCCACAAAATATAAGTAGAAAATATCAAGATTTCGAGATTCGGGAGAGGATATTCCCAGAAGCTCATCCCTCGTGACTTGTAAGTCAATCTCTCCCATATCCCGTTCGAGTTTAACATGAAAGGTTGTGTCTCGCAGAAGAGAGACGTGTTCTTGTCTTCCATGTACCCACGCCATGCCACATCCCAATAATTCATGTGTAGATTTTGATCAATTTTAGGGAATGAGGGAATTCCCCAAAATGAATCTGATGAGAAGCTTTGGGATGAAGATGATCAAAATGGGATGAAGCTTAGGGTTTTTAATTTAATGGGGGAGAAAAAGACTAGATGGTTTTTTTCTAAAGTTTGACTCAAAGAAAATAACTAATCTTGAATGACCAGCAAACAACAGATATTTGTTTTTCTTTCTGTTCTTTTTATAGCTACGTTACTCTCTATTTCTTGTTTTTGTCAACATTCACACACGTATGGTCGTACATCGTATAATACAACCAATCAACGTTAAAGATACAATACTACTTATTTAGGGAATTTTGCACTCACTAACACTTTCTATAAAACATTTGTGTTTTACACCACTTTTTCAATTTTTTTGTTGCCTCTTAGCTTCAACATATTGTCATCAACCTTTTGAGATGTCTTTAGATAAAAGAAAAATTCATGTTGTGGTCTAATCTCCTGATCGTTGATCGCTCACAGCAGCAATCAAGTTGATTATATCAAAGTTAGGTTAAATAAGTTGATAAGAATCGTCAATTTTATTCAAAAAAAAAACATATTTTAACAAATTGAATTCTTAAGGGCAATAAAACAGTAAATACAATTTTATCAAATATAAAAAGAAAAGAATAGTAATGACAAGACAAAGACAGATGGAATATGAATACAATAACAAAACCAAAGAAATGTAAAAAAACACACACACACAATCAATCAATCAAATCAATCAAGAGCATATAGCAAATTTGATATACGTCTGATGCACACAAATGAAACCAGATCAAGTTGACAATAGTCCAAACTAAAGACGAGTTTTGCATAACACTCTCTGGAATCCATCCAACGAGCTCGACGTAACGTTGATCATTACCGGCGTACACACAGCCTTCAACGTACGTCTCCTCGACCTAAAAATCCACGTCTTGTAGCTCACTCTAGCTGTTATATACACTTCCATTTCGATCGTCCCTTTCGATTGTTCAGCTCTCAAGTCCTTGGCATTAAACTTGGACAATGCCACGTTATGCGACACGAGCTGCGTCTCAATCCTCGTCTCGTTCCTAGGACGTTGCTTGAAGGCAGAGATCTCCTTGTGAGCCACAGACTGGTTATGGTGAGTCGTGGAGATACGCATTGAGTGGTATCTTACGGAGACATGTTTCTCCGGGTTGTATGATTTGATCACATAGTTGAATTTGGCGCTAATGTGATCGTCTTTGGCTATGGAAAAATCTTGTACCGAAGCGGCCTCTACCGTATAGACGAGTCGCTTTGGCCTGAGAGTAAGGTACGTGATCAATACGGCTAGGCCCACAAGGAGGCCCAAGAGGACGAGGGCGATGATGGTGCATAGGATCGGGTTCAAACCCCGACCCGGTAGTGGTTGCGGATGCGGTTGTGTTCGCCTAGTCGGTTGGGGTTGGTTTTGGGGAACCATTGTTAGAGATAGAGGGTTTTGATGGAGAGGTTCTTTTTTCTAAGTGTTGGGAAAGGATCGAGAGCAGAGATTAATTTGATTGCTTTGTTATGGTTTGATGCATTATATATAAAGAGACTAACAAAGGATAGTTAGATTCTTTGCCTTTGTGTAAGGATTAGTCCTAAAACTATTAATTTAAATCTCCTCTTTAGCATTGCTTGTGAATAAATCAAGAAATCTTGGAAGCTGGAAGATTCGTACTTTTTGCTTGTGTTTTTTTTTAAATAACTCTTTGCTTCTTGTTGTAACGTTGTCACTTAATATTTGGATTTTTTATAACTATCAAATACTAATAAGAAAAACAAGATTTCCAAATTACCTATAAATTTGGCCGTCTGCATATGTATATATCTACAATTAACAGTCCGACGACAAATTTTCATTCACACAAGAAAAAGAGCTAATGTAAATATTACAATATAATTTCATATAGAGGAAAAAATTATTTGAGTTTATTAGCCACCACTTAATCACTCATCAGTGTATCCAACAACACAGGCAAATATAATACATTTGCTTTCTTGAAGAGAGAGAGATAACTTCTACTTACTTTAGTTAACATCGTTGTGTTTAATTATGCTTCCTTTGCTTTGTCGGAAGCCTTTATTCCTTTCCCAAAATGTGTAAGGGAAAGAAAGATTGCCAGAAAATAAACTGTGAACAGAATCAGAAATACCATCAACATTAAGAAAGGTATAGCTCGTATGTTTCATGTTAGACATGGTGGTTTAATTTGAAACGGGTTATCTGCGGCGGGTTATTGCTTCAAATTGGTAAGAAATCAAACATTTACTTTTCACATTTTTTTTTATGTTCAACATCTAAACTCTTCGATTTCATAGCAGATTAGCAATGGAAATCCTTAGCTCTATATATGCTTTACAGTTATGAACATAAATAAATTTCTTTTACTTTTGCTACAATATAGTTTCTACAGTATGTTACAATCCAACTATAATCTTAAACTATTATGCAGCAATGGATTTTGGCTGACCAGGTACATATGTTGTTGTTATATAATCGGGGTAGATATTTGGCCGAAACCTATACTAATTCATGAGATAGACAAAAAAAAAAAAAATAGAAACTTTTGCCCTTTTAGATGTTGTCAAAAGAAAATCACAACGTTTTCTTACATGATCATGAGACCCGGTCCCTAAATTTGACGAGTTTTCTACCCACTCGAACAAATCAATGGGCCACATGCTTTTGGTTCATGAGACGTGTGTTAACCTAACAGCCACCACTAACAATTAAGTGTGTCAGATTAATGAGAACCGTAAGAGAAATATTTTTTTAGCACTAAGTATTTCTTGTGTGTGTTTGTAGAAATAGAGCTATATATTGACAAGTGATGCAGAAAAAGGGAAAAAAGATAATGGGAAAGGAAAAGTTTAAAGTAAAAGTAGTCCTTGCATGCTGAGCATTGAAGTTGGTCGCCGCATATACCTTGGAAGATCCTTTCTCTTTCACCTTCTCCACCAAAACTATATGCATATATTTGATATGTATGTTCGCGAAAATGTGTGTGTTTGTATATAGATTTCTATAGTACATGCAGTGTAGAGACAAGAACATGGTATTGTGATAATCAACTTACACATAATCAACACCAGGAGGAATATTCCATGAGTTATCCGATTCGTTGAAATATCACTCAAAAAAAAGAGAGGTCAAATTCATCTCACTTCAACTATGTTTTTTTTTTTCCCTTTTGAGTCGATTATACTAAATACAAAGCATACTTTATAGTACTAAAAGCATGTATCATCACTTTGCAATAACTCTTTTCAAGTAGAGTTTCACTTACTCGTGTCACATGCATTTTCTCTATATATAACCCTCTTCCTGTACCTTTCACAGCATAAGATCGTCATCTCTCACCACCGAAAGCATGGCTAGCAATAAGAGCAAACACGAGCCAATATCTCAAGACGAAGATCATCTGGTTAGTCGTTTAATGATGATTACGATTATGTCTTCTTCTGATCTTGTCTTCAACCAGAACAAGGGCTCGCCGACAGCTGCGATGGGGTACAATATCAGTGGATGAATATGTACTCGGACGAGAGGAGAGATCGAGGTGTTGTCGTGTTGACCAACTTGAAAACATAGGTGCTGGTCAGTTGGTAAACACACTTATCTATTATGTAATCTTTCTCTCCGACCGGGCAACTTCGGAATCTTTGGCAATGTTTCTCCTGGTTTCTACTTTTCTTTGCTTTTTGTCTATCTATTTGTAACAGATCTTCTTGTTTTATTGGTTAAACCGAATATTTTCCTTGTTTAGCACTACTTTTCCTGAAGAGATGAGGATAATAAAGTAGAGAGTTTCTTGATCGCAACATCTGCTATGAATCAAGAAGTTACAGGCTTTGATCTGATATGCCTCTTGTAACCTTGTTACATGAATAAAATTTACAGAAGAGACAGAAAGTTTACATGAACCAAAGGAAAGAAAGAAGGTCTCGGGTTGCTCTGTTCTGCTTTCTCCGCTATGGCTCAGAAGTTGACTGGGCCTAGGCCCAAGTTTATCAAGTCACTTCTAAGCCCAAAGTCGTTAACCCGCCCATTAGATCGAAACGTAGGGGAGCACCATCATTATATTCCTTGCATATACGTTAGAGGTTAGACTGTATGTCACTGATTAATCCCTTTTTTTTTTTCTTTCAGTAACATGTGTTTCATATACCAAAGGCTACACATGTTCTGAACATATTTGTTTTTTTCTCTAGGGATTATATAGGTCGCCAAAACAGAACATATTTGTAAAACTATCCAAATTTTGAGATATATTTAGCACACAGTACATAAAAGATCCAAATTTCCAAAGTGTGAAAGTAAGATACATATTTTATAGAACGAAGAACGCTAGATTAGAACACAGAACGACAAAATTACAACAACAACAAAAAAAGAACATAATTCTTGTAACCATACTTTCTAAGTTAAACCTTAACTTAGTCCTTAACCAGGTAACTAACGCTTCCTCCTGGCATCATAAGCAACATAGTTACTAACAGCTTTGAAGCCTTCAGCCACGGCGTGGCGGCTAAGCTCTCCAGGCAAAACCAGCCTCACTGCCGCTTCGATTTCCCTTGACGACAACGTCCTCCGCTTTGTATAATCGTTTAGCCTCGCCGCCTCCTCCGCTATCCTCTCGAACATATCACCCATGAAAGTGTTAATCACCGACATCGCCTTTGACGTTATCCCTATCTCTGGATGCACCTGCTTCAGCACTTTATACACATATCTCCTATATTCATCTCTCGCTAAATCCGTCCTCTTCCTCTTCTTCGTCTTCACCTTCGTCTTCTTCTCTTGCTTCTTATCAGCCTTGTGCGTCTCCTTCAGTACTGTGCCTTCACTTTCAGGAGCGGGAGTTTCCGGCGGCTGAGGGGACCGATCATCGCCAACATCGACCGGAATCTCAACCGTAGTAACGTTTTCTTCAATGGGAATGGAAAACGTGAGATCTTGTGTCTCTTGATCTTCAGTCTCCGTTGTTGTCTCGGTGGTAACATTCGGATCACCGTCCGTGACAGTTACTTTGACTGTCTCCTCCACCACTTTCTTCTTCTTCGTCACCGAAACAACCTTCGGCGCCATTGTCTATCTTCGCAAGTAAAACCGTAAATGTTAAGTGGTTAAATATAAAAATGGCTCTTGGTCAGTTGGTCGAGGGTAACGGTAATTCTTGGATTGACATGTGGTGACGCGTGTCGTTCAAATACATCAATGTTGGTGATTAACTGCTTACTACGTGGTGGTTGTAAAAAGTAGAAAACGTATCCTATGCTTCGCGTCTCTTTTGATTTCTAGGTTAAAAGTAAGTGAATATCCGTGTTAGTAGTTCTACTACAATGTGCTTTTATAATTTTTAATTATTAGGATCTAAGTTTTGATTTTGAAATAGAGACAGAAAATATTGAAACAGCCCCTGCTGCTTATTGCTCAAGCTCATATCATTTTTACAGTATGTTTTGGTTGAACTTAAATAGCCATGAAAGTTAAAAAAATATACAATTTTAAATATATTTTATACATAAAAAGCATTATTAATATACAGTAACTAAATTAAATATAAATGGTTATATAAAAAAAATCAAAAATGTTTCTAAACTGTATCAAAGCAAAAGAAAAACCTCTTAAAAACCTTATTTGAGGGTCCAAATGGGCGGTTTAGTTAAATCAGCTAAGATTAGATGGCTATCAAATCATCATGACATCATTCACCTACTATTCTTCCGTCACGGTGTCACTAAAATATTTTTTATTAGAAACAAAATTGAAGACCACATTTCGAGACATGAGGATCAAGTTGTGAAAGACAGAAACAAGATCGATATAAATATATATACACAAAAATTCTGTACACCAACGGAGATAAAATCACATGATAAACACGAGCCAAACCAAAAATTATTATAGGTATAGAAATCGAAGTCTAGATAAAACAAGAGTGATCATCAAATTTGTGTTTGGGAGAAGAAGAAAAACAAGAGATATACAGCAAAGACTCACGCGCTATTACTCCTCCGTTTCTTACGGACATGGTTTGGGTTGTGAACAAAGAAAGTCTCAACTTCCTGGCTCCCTACTTCAGTGGCTTCGAAGAACCGAAGATCCTTGGACAATCTCTTCTTCTTTGTCAGAGGAATCTCACGCGGTCGCTTTCTTGGCGCCGGAGGACATGTCTCCACCTCCGGAATCTTGTGATCACTTGAAGTCGGTGTACACAAAGATCCTAACAACTCTTCTTTCTTCTTCGACTCTTCTTCTTCTTCTTCTTCTTCTTCTTCTTCTTCTTGGTTGCTTGGCTTCTGTTCTTCTCCTTTTTCTTCTTCTAGGGGTTTGGGAATCTTGGACATGGTCACATGGATGTATGTCGTCTATATTGAAATGTGAAAGTTTTGTGGGTTTAACCTTCCAAAAGGAAATAATATTAGTTTTAAAGTGAATTGGAATCTAGAAAGTGATAGGCAGAGAAAGAGAGAAAAAGGAGATTACAGAGTTTGTATTTTGCGAAATGTCCATTCATTATTTTTTTGAATGAATATTCGGATATTCAGTACTTTTTAATGTAACTTATATATAGTTGCTTGGGAATTAAGAAGTGAAACTTTTCAACTGCTCTATGTCCAACCTTTAGAACTGCACGAGTCAACTAGTTAGTTGAATTCATTTGTGTTCATAATCAATTTGAATACGAAATGAACATTATGAAAACAAAAGATGAATTATTTTAATGGAGAAGCTTATCCAATACATCGCATATGTCACGTCATTCTTCGATGTTATGTCCGAATACGTACAAATGCTTCGCATAGGATACCATTTCATCACTTATAGAATTTAGAAATAATATACTTCATAATTGATGTCCACTTTCCGGCTCGCCCTTGGACTTATTCGCTGCGAAGCAGCCTATTTTATCAACCAATGAGACACGGCCATGTCATCATCCACTTTGGTTTTATTTTTGAGAATTGCTTTGCTCTAGTTACTATAGTCTTTTCTCGATACACGGCTAATGCAACCTCATTTCTGTGTAATATGGGTTTTGATTGGTAAATTGGGCCAGGTTGGGCTTATGTAGTTTTTTTTCCCTTCTAATGCAATTTAACACTAACCCATTAAAACACTAAATATCGTTTTTTTATGCTTCTTAATTTCATTTTTTTCGTGAGTGGACTGGACTCAGCATCATTTGAATCCGTTTCTATTAAATTCAAAACATAGATAGATCCCAAACTGAAAAATTATTCGTGGAGAAGGAGTTAATCTTGGAATTTTTTTCTTTTTGAGATTCTTCGCTTTGATTGAATCAAAGTTCTCGTACTATGTATGGCTTTCTGTCTCGAAGAATCCGATCCATCTCTAAACAGGTTGTGTATACGAAAAAGCAAAGTGAAAAGGCTTCAAAGCTCTGTGTAAAATGAAAATGATTGAGACTACTATACATTAGCACGTCTCTATCTAAACAGAAAAGAGTCAAGTAAAGAAATGTAAACACTCTCCCACACAACACATGGCACCTTTTTCTTTGTCGCCTTCCATATCATTAATTTCTTAATTTTTTCTCTACTCTTCTCTGTCATCACCAATAATATTCAATTAATTTAATTTTACCGATACCAAAACTTTGAACGAAATTTTTGAAGGCTACAAAGAGAAATTCAACCACAGAAGAAGGAAGCAGATCTGTTCTTCGATTTTTTTACGTCTGATTGATCTCTCTGTTTCTGATCGGAGGAGAATTGCACAGTCTGTAGCGAAGGATATACTCTGCGGTGGTAATGGCTGCGGTTCCGTCTGAGAACGGCGTGGACGGAGATGATGAGAGGGAGGAAGGAGAAGAAGAGGAGGAGGAAGAGGAAGATGAAGAACACGTGGATGAGTCTGAGGAGGAGCCACGTCTCAAATACCAGCGGATGGGCGGCAACGTACCTGCGTTGCTATCTAACAACGCTGCTTCCTGCATCGCCGTAGCCGCGCGGATGATCGCGCTTGGTACGCACGACGGAACCGTTCATATCCTCGATTTCCTCGGGAATCAGGCGAGTTTGTCTCTTATCACTGATTTCAGTTTTTCGATTTTTGCAATTTCGGGTGTCAATTTCAACATTTCTGGAGTATTAGTGTTGATGAGCTGATTGCGATAGATGATACGATGCATCTAATTAGGTTTGCTATGCTTCGTTGTTTCAGATTAGAGAATTTCGTGCCCACACTGCTCCGGTTAACGACCTCAGCTTCGACTCTGAGGGAGAGTATATCGGAAGCTGTTCAGACGATGGGTCTGTCGTTATAAACAGCCTTTTCACTGATGATGAGAGGATGAAATTTGATTATCATCGCCCCATGAAGGCCATTTCCTTGGACCCAGACTACGCCAGAAAGCAATCAAAGAGATTTGTAGCTGGTGGCTTGGCTGGTCACTTGTATATGAACTCCAAGAAGTGGCTCGGTTTTAGAGACCAGGTTTGTGGGAATGTGGTTCGATTACGTTTTGGAATACAACTTACTCTTCGTGAATTTGATAGAGGCTGACCTTGTAGGTGCTGCATTCTGGTGAAGGTCCAATCCATTCTGTGAAATGGAGAGCAAGTCTCATCGCCTGGGCTAATGATTCTGGTGTTAAAGTTTATGATACAGCCAAAGATCAGCGTGTTACATTTATTGAAAGACCTCGGGGAAGTCCTCGGCCTGAGGCTTTGCTTCCCCACTTGGTTTGGCAGGTTTGTTTGGATAACCTCGAATGAGTTCATAAGTATCAGCATTGATTTTGAAGGGATAATTTTTGTTTTGCTTCCAGGATGACACTCTGCTTGTGATTGGTTGGGGAACATCTGTTAAAATTGCTTCGATTAAACCAGACCAGCAAAAACCAGCATATAGGCACCTTCAGATGTCTAGTATAACGCAAGTGGATATTGTGGCATCTTTTCAAACCAGCTACTACATTTCAGGGATTGCTCCCTTTGGTGATTCTATAGTTATTCTTGCTTATATACCTGTTGAAGAAGATGGTGAGAAGGAATTTAGCAGCACCACTACTCTATCGCGTCAGGTACTCTCTTCTTGGCGGTTTCGTTACATATGAGAATTAGGGACATATTTTGGCATGCCGATTGGGCAGTTATTGAGTTTATATCGAAGTGATTCAGGGAAATGCCCAGAGACCTGAAATACGCATTGTTTCATGGAACAATGATGAACTTACAATGGATGCTCTTCCTGTACATGGCTTCGAGCATTACAAGGCGAAAGACTATTCCCTTGCACATTCTCCTTTTCCAGGTCTGAGGTTTTTAGAAGGTCATTTCTTTTCCGGGGAAGCCTACCTTTGAGTACTTAATCCAAAATTCGATGCGCGTGTAGGTAGTAGCTACGCTGGGGGACAGTGGGCTGCTGGTGATGAACCACTGTACTATATTGTTTCTCCAAAGGATGTTGTGATTGCAAAACCCAGGTATATATTTGTGGTCACTATTGTCATTCTAGTGCTTTGTAAAGGAACTTTGCGGTCTTTTACTTATGCGGGTGGTTTGTTACTTGTTAGGGACGCTGAAGACCACATTAACTGGCTTTTGCAACATGGATTCCACGAGAAAGCCCTAGCAGCTGTGGAGGCTGGTGACGGACGAACCGAACTAATTGATAAGGTACTTGTTCGAAATTAATTAGTGACTAAACCTTTTATATGTCTTTGCATTCTGGTTCTTTATTTTGTTCTTCACTTTTCTCTACTTAATGCATAGAAAGTGCTGTTCATGATTTTGATTTTATATTTATCTTTATGCAATGTGGCACTACTTCAGTTAGGTAAACACACTTAATCTGGAAATATTCTATCCGTTTAACCAAAGATTTCTCTGTTCACATTTCATAAGCGTATCAGATTCAACTGTTAAGTTTCATATAAATAATCTGTCCCCTTTCCACATTCTATTTTTGGGGGTAATGTATTATGCTTAACCGAAGTTTTGCTTATCTAGGTTGGTGCTGGGTATCTTGATCATTTGATTGTGGAAAGAAAATATGCCGAAGCAGCATCTTTATGCCCAAAATTGTTACGAGGGTCTGCTTCAGCCTGGGAGAGGTTTGAACAAATTAGTATCTCATATTTGCTCAGTGTTTGGTTATTGTTTACATATCTACCATTGTGTTTCTCTATTCAGGTGGGTTTTCCATTTTGCTCAACTACGCCAGCTACCTGTACTTGTTCCATTCATGCCGACGGATAACCCGAGGCTTAAGGATACTGTGTATGAGGTGTGTATATAAACAACTTTGTCAAACTATTCCCACTTTTTTCCGTGTCTTTATCCCTCTATGCATGTGATAGAGTAAAGAACCAATAGAAGTTTTTTTTAAAGTTTATTTCTTTATGATCCAGGTTGCTCTCGTGGCACTGGCAACCAACCCATCATACCACAAGGAGCTTTTGTCAACTGTTAAATCTTGGCCACTTTCAGTATATTCTTCTTTGCCTGTTATCTCAGCAATAGAGCCTCAGCTGAACACATCTTCAATGACCGATGCCCTTAAAGAGGTCAGCATTGTCTGTCATCTTAAACTGAGATTACTAACATTAAACGGATTCAAAGTTGTTTTATCATTTCATTTATTATCAGGCGCTGGCAGAGCTGTACGTGATTGATGGACAGTTTAAGAAAGCCTTTTCCCTATATGCTGATGTACGTGTTTACTTAAGAAGTGATACATTTGTTTAAGTAATTTTCCCCTTGTCTTGTCCAGGCCTTCTTTCGTTGATAGTCTTCTAAAATGTTCCTTTTCACTTATTTTCTTCCAGCTTCTCAAACCAGAAGTGTTCGACTTTATTGAGAAATACAGCTTGCATGAGGCTATTCGTGGAAAGGTATATAAGCACTACATAAGCTTTTTCTTTACGATCCAGGTTTCGTCATCATCCATAACGTTAGCGGCTTAGGGCTCCATGAATTCACATTATTCGCAATCGGATTTGAATCTTTCCCTTTTTGGATTATATGGATCGTGAGTCTAGTTCTTAGATATAGAAACTTCTCCCGGTAATACCCAATTCAAACAAAGATGGAGCTCCACAGCATATATCCAAATTTTGTGCTTATGGGATAGTGTTATTGAACTTAGATAGATCCACTGATTTTGTCATACAGACCGGTGAACTCTTTTTCCCTGATTTGCTTGTGTAGGTTGTTCAGTTAATGTTGCTAGATTGTAAGCGTGCCACTGCCTTATTTATTCAAAATAGGGAACTGATTGCTCCATCTGAAGTTGTTCCGCAACTTCTGAAAGCTGGCAACAAATGCGATTCAAGATTGTACTTGTACTTATACCTGCACGCATTATTTCAAGTCAGCCCAGATACTGGGAGGGATTTTCATGATATGCAGGTATGTGTAGTTAACTCGGTATAGGCAATGAATGTTTTCTTTCTTTTCCTCTTTTTTCTGCTTATATATTTTCTTAAAATTTGTGAATGCTGTAGGTAGAACTATATGCGGAATACGATACTAAGATGCTGCTTCCATTCCTACGTAGCAGTCAACATTACAAGTTAGAAAAGGTAGTCAACATTACAAGCTACAGCTAACTGAAATGGACTATCTCTAGGTTATCTCTTTGTGAACTTGATACATTGCAAAATTTCAGGCATATGAACTTTGTGTCAAGAAAGATCTATTAAGAGAGCAAGTGTTTATCCTGGGGAGGATGGGAAATGCAAAACAAGCTCTTGCCGTCATCATAAATAAACTGGGCGATATAGAAGAGGTAATTGTCTCTGTTCAGTAACTTGTCTTCTTCAATCCTTGTACTCTCTAACTGATGTCTTGTTTGCTGGTTATAAATAATACAAAACAAGCTATGTATTTAAACTTGATCGATCTTCTGCAGGCTGTGGAATTTGTGTCCATGCAGCACGATGATGATCTATGGGAAGAGCTGATTAAACAATGTCTAAACAGGCCCGAGATGGTAAAATCTGAACTTTATGAATCAAAATCGCCACACAAATCCGCCTTGGTTATAAGAAACTTGTGTCCTTGTAGTAATTTTCCTTAAATCCTCTGTTCCTTTCGACCAATTTTAGGTGGGCTTGCTGTTGGAGCACACGGTTGGCAACCTGGACCCTCTTTACATTGTAAATATGGTCCCAAATGGCTTGGAAATACCACGGTTAGTGTTTAACTATCATCCCGCATTGCTGTTACTTTGTTCTTGAGTTTGTTCAGTGACGTTCTTCTTCCTCAAGTAGACATGGTCGCTCTTCTATGTGCACACACAAAGCTTTGGCGGAATCATATGCTTTCTGATAACCTTTTGCCAAAGTTTAAGCTCTCATCATTGTTTCTTCTGTTTTCAGGCTAAGGGATCGATTGGTCAAAATCGTAACAGATTACAGAACTGAGACATCTCTTAGACACGGTTGTAATGACATTCTCAAGGTACCAAATTTAATGTCACAATTGTCCCTCTGATCATATATCTGGAACAGGCTCCAGGGAATTTTCAATTTTGACGTGTGGGGGTTGTTTTACAGACGGACATTGTTAATCTTCTAGTCAAGTGCTTCAACGAGGCGAGACGCGGGGTCTGCTTAAGCAACGAGGAAGACGATTCCCGTGCAAAAAGAGAAGACAATAACAGATCATTCTCACAGAGAGTGGTAGTAGGTAAATCTCTGAGCATGAAGATGACAGAGGTGAAGTCGAAGACACGAGGGGACACACGGTGTTGCATGTGCTTTGACCCGGTCTCGATAAGAGGGGACACCGTGGTGGTCTTCTTTTGCTGCCATGCTTACCACATGACGTGCCTCATGGATGCTGCCTTCAGCAGCAGCAATGACAAGACAAGCAAAGGTTCTTCGGGGTATGAATACGGCTATGATAACGGTGTGGATGATGAGGAGGATGAGGATGAGGAAGAAGATGGCGATGGTGGTGGGGACAGGCCTGGACGTTCGCGTTTACGATGCATATTATGTACTACTGCCGCTGCTGCGTCCGCTCGGTAGCGACTCCTTTTGTGCATGTGTTTGTGAAATATTTTTTTGGTGTGCTTCGATTCTTTGTTCTTTTTTTTTGAGAAAGAAGGAAAAGTTCCTTGTTTACTCTCATGTCTCTAAATTATTAATTATAGCAAAAAGAGAGAGGCGAGAGGGAAATATATGACATATATGTGTGCCAGAATTTTTGCATTCTCGTTAAAAAATTCGTTTAGTGTTGGTAAAAAAAAAATATATTTTCTGCGAACTGCTTCTTGTTGTTATTCGTCGTTTAGCATAAAGTGAAATAAAGTTTCTCCATTTGTTCACAAATTCACATCAATCTCCCTCGTTTTTAGATCTTGTCATCTATGTGCTTTTTTGGGTAGCGATCTTGTCATCTTTTCTGGATGCACAAACATGATAGCTACGATTTCGCTTAATAGAAATAAAGTGTGGCATCCACCGGAAAGAGGTAACATATGAAGCCCCATAAAAAGTACTAATGCTTTAAATTTATAACACCATTTTCTTTTTTTGGTATGAACGTGAAGATTCATACCATTTTCTGGAATACACACTATTGTAGTTGAACAACTTATTACAAAGCAGTAAAAAGAAAGCAATACATTACACAGGTCCGGCAATACATTGATAAAAACACCTCAAGAAGAGAAGGTGAAGAGACTGATGATGCCGGTATAAACGACCATGATATAAAGCTATAAAGTTTCAACAACGTATTCAGAATACTATATAACAATAAAACATATACTAGAAGCAACCACAATGATAATGGTGTGTAGGGTGAATTCAAACAAAAACAAAAAACAAAAATAGTGGAATAGTAGAAGCCCGAATGATTTGAGGTGTTGATAAGGGAGATGGTGATGACCTCTAAGACGCTACTGGTTTTGAAGTGGCCTTCTTAACAGCTTCCGCATAGGTCCTGTGCTGGTAAGTCAAGGTCGACTCAAGCAAGTCCCAGAGAGACGTCTTCGGGTCCCATCCTAAAATATATCATCAGAACAACATGATTGGTTTTGGTTATGTTTCAAGAGACGATGAAAGCAGAGACAACAAAAACGAAGAGGATATTTACCAAGTTGACGGTTGATGATGGTCATGTCTGGGATTCTCTTGTCGCTGTCGTCATAACCTTCTCCATAAAACTCTTTGGAGCTCACGTCAACCGTCGGGCTCTCTATAGCTGTCTCTCCACTCACTTTTGCGTAGACCTGGTCCATGTTATTTTTGTTTTAGTAAACATTTAAGCGTGCAATACAATAACGAGAATCAATACAATATTTTATTTTCTTACCTGAGTCATCATTTCAGCAAGTTGTCTTACTGTCACTTCATTGTTCGGGTTGCCTACATTGAAGATATGCCCATTTGCTCTCTCTGGGTTTTCCTGTTAAAGATCCCACAAGCAAAAATCAGATTCAGATTCACCTTCTTTGATTACATTGTTATAACGAAATAGCAATGCATGAAACTCACAATCATCAGAAGGACAGCTTCAATAGCATCTTTGATGTAGATGAAGGTTCTCTGGGATTCTCCTCCATCCACGAGCTTGAGAGGCTCGCGCCTCAGAAGGTTCTGAAAATACACAAATTTAGCTGCAGCCACTAAAACAAACCAGGTTGTTGGAGCCTGTAAACTTACGTTGCTAAAGCATGCTAGGACACGAGGGACACCCTCGCTAGGACCATCAATGCCAGGGATGAAATCCATCCTAGGTCCAATCCAGTTGAACGGTCTTACAATGGTGAACTCGAGTCCATTCTCAGCACCCTCAGCTGCAACCACAAACCAAAACAAGTGATCATCTTTTTGCACACTGAATTTGATTATCATGTATATGAAAAAAGACAATGCATACCGTAGACAAGTCGCTCAATCAACTGCTTCGCACAAGCATATGACCACCTCTGCTTCTCAATAGAACCAAATATGCAAGGGGATGTTTCTTCATTGAGTACGTAAAAATTAGGATCCTGTACAAAGCCAAAGACGAGCAATCTTTTGTGAGTGGTGAAGATTTAGCAATGACAGAGACAAAAGTGGTAATTAGAACCACAGGAGAAACTAATATTTAATTGAAATTAAAGAAAACTAAGCCAAAAACACAAATTCTCATGTACTAGTTGGAGTCTTTGGAGATCAAAGCCATACTCAGGTCATTGCAGGAAAAGAAACTATATTATCTCGATATTTCAAACACTATTTTACTTTATTCTTCAGTGAGTGGGCCACTATACAAGACACATAGTTTATTGATCCATTTGACAGCGACCCTTGAGCAGAAGGTAATGCTTAAAGACAAAATGACATGAAGAGAGTGAAGAGGAGAGAAAGTCTGACCTGGCGCAGAGGATGATCCTTGGGAAGAAAGCTTCCAATAGTCTTTCCATACACTTCACAGGTCGAAAAGTGAATAAGACGCTTGTTGTTCTCTGAGCAGTATTTCACCTACATGGATCACTCAATGTCACAAATAAATTCTGCTACAGAGTAAAGATATCTATCTTAAGCATCGGTATCACAAAAATCTTCCTCATTGCAAAATAGAAGACCAAATTCTGATACATACCACGGGGAGAGCATCGATGAAATTGCTGTAGATGGTGTCAAGAGGACGCGTATTGTAATCAGCTGGAGTACAGATCGCAGCCAGATTTATCGTCTGCAAAGTAAAACAAGAGATTTAACAAGACATTCACAATCTCGAAGGATCAGATCTGAGTCTGTAATCATCAAAATCAGCAACGCACTAACTATCACTTGCAATTTTCCAATCAATTTCAGTCATTCCGCATAAGCTTGAACAAGAGAAAAGTGCAGATAAAGAGCAGCTTCGCATTCGAATTCACATTCACATGAAACATTATCCGAGAAAAAAAGTTACCAGATCTGCCATCTTGACCAGTCCTTCGAGTCTAGAATCATGCTTGATGTTGATACGATGAAACTGGATCCGATCGGCCCACTCAACCGTATTAGGCTCGAGCAAGTGCTGAATCTTATCGTTGTAGACGTCGAGCGCGAGCACCTTGTGCGGAGTCTCCATCAGCAGCTTCTCGCAGAGGTGAGAGCCGATGAAACCTCCGGCGCCGATCATGCATATCGTCTTCGGCTTAATCGGCCTGCCGTCCAGATCCAATCGACCGGCTCCGTTCGCCATTAGTGTCGGTGAGGGGAAATGGAATCAGGAACGCGTGATCTTAGATCACGCTAACAAAAGATAACAATGCAAATTTGAGTGCAAGAGAGAGAGAAGAGAGAGCTTTGTTGTGCGAATGAGGAAAAAGCAGAAAGTCAGGGACCGATATTTAAAATGTTATATTCCATTTTACTCATAATTGTTAACAGACCTCTATATTCTTGATATCACTAGTAGTACCCCACGTGCTTTTAATGCAGTTTTCGTTGGTTTGTTATATTCCATTTCACTCATATTTGTTTACGTGAACAAGCCTCTATATTCTTTATATTTCAAAAAGAAAAAAAAATTGTATATTCTCACCTACTTAAAGAAAGTATATTGTTTCTAGTTTCAGTGAAAGAGATTTCAATTTTCCAGTTGTCTAATTTTTTAATTTTAAATTGTTCATTTTTAAGTTTCTAACTGGATACAATAATAAAAAATAAAAACCTAACAAAATAGTTGTCAAGCAGCGGATAAGTAATAAGAAAAAATTTCTAATTTTAAATCCTCTAATTTTCCAGTAGTCCAATATAAAATATCATCGATACAAATGATGATAAAATACATTTATTGTGTAAAAATTAATATCATTTATATGTATTTTCTTTATAGAGCTGTAAAATATAAAATCATAAATTATGCGGGATCATCTTAGTATAATATAATTTCCAAGAAATCATAACAAGATTCATTTGAAACACTTAAAAATTATGGAAATATCAGAAATTGGCCATAAGTTAGTCTTCTATCTCGAAGAAAACCAGTAATTCTACTATTTACGATTTTTCACTCATAATGATTATTGTTTAGTTAGCCACATAACCACATATACTTGATACATGTTCTCATGCTAATTTTATAGTTGGTGTAGTTAATTATACATTAAACTTGTCTACATGTTTGACCATGTCGTGATGTCTTCTTAGTGTAGCTGATAATCTTTTTTACCTTTCAAAAAGATGATGCATCCATTGAAACAAAGTGTTTTGGTTTGAGTATAAATTACATTCGTTAAAGAAAGTAAAAACTCGAGATAATTTCAATCGTGTGGCCAACATTAACATCGGACAGCTAACACAAAGGCCTTATCTTCTGATGGTCCAATAATATGCCTCTAACGTTAACGAAGATGACAGTGAAAATTTGGGTGAAGGAGAGAGCTAGAGAGAGAAGAGAGAGGCCGTATTTTCGGATGGAATATGTCTCTCACGTTAACAAAGATATAACAATGCAAATTGGGTGAAAGAGACTTCGAGAGAGCTTGTCGTGGGGATGAGAAAGGTACGGATGTTTTAAAGGCATGTGGATGGAGGCATTACTCTATACTCGCTTTTCACCGGTTTAGCCCCCACGTGATTTAATTGAAGTTTTCGTTAGTTTGTTGTAATATTCTCTTCTACTCAATTATTACGTCTCCGAGGGAAAATGGAATCAGAAACGATGCAAATTTGGGTGGAAGAGAGTTACAGAGAGAAGAGAGAGCTTTGTTGTGAGGATGAGAAAAATGTGGGACAGATATTTTAAAGCCAAGTGGACGGATAAGTCCAATAATGTGTCTTGAGTATTAATTTGGAACCTCAAACTTCGGAATCATATTGATTTTGATTGATAAACCACCACTAGACTAGTGTCTTTGAGGCTTCTGATTTTAATGTTTTACTAGATCTGACCCTCGTTAATACATTATTTAAGTATCTACATTATGATGTCCTCTATAATAACAAATAAACAATGGTTTGTTAATTATACTCTGTACATATATGATTGATGTAAACAATAGTTTGTTCATATAAATGATTGCAGAAAATTATTGTTTTTACTTTTTAGTAATGTTGTAACTGAATCTTGTTGATTCGTTAAAAAAGCTGGCTGTAGCGAGAAACGAGACAAGTCGTGGATCGTAAACTAAGAATTAAATTAGTGAGACTGATACATAAATGTTACAATAACAAGCTTGTTTGTTTCATTTCCGAGACTCCAACTTTTTCTGGAAAATTTTCAAGCTCTGTGGAGTGAATGCTAGAGAAGCTACAAGACGCTAAGACTCCGAGAGAGCAAAAGATGGAGGAGGAAAACAACTCGTAACAACAAGTCATAACTTGTACGACCACTCTCTGAATTGTTCTCTCTCCACTGCCCTGTGTTTATAACGTCTCTGCTTTGTCCTCCTCTTGTCGCTGAAACGTTCACGTCCAGAGAACCTGCAACGTAATAAATAACCTCTGCAGTCTGCATCACACTCGCTAATGTAGGGTGGGATATACAAATCAAATCTTTAATGTTCAAACAGATATCAACACGAACAAGATCATGTTCAAAAATCATGACCGACAGATTTTAGTATTTTGAAACCATAGAGAACACACTCACAGTCGTATTCTGACCATCCAATCCGTTGGCGAACAAGATCGTAGACCACCACTTTGTCTTTAAGAACCAAATCTGCATAACCAATCCAGCCACTAAGAAATCTTATGGGAAGTGCACTGTTTTTTCAATTTTCACTTGATCGAGTCACAAATAAAACGAGTCGTTACCGCCTAGAATTGTTATGCGACGATGAGGCATTCTCTGGAACCCAATGCACCATATTGAACTTCCTGACTGATGATGATAACAAAAGAAAAAATATCTATTGATTAACTTACATGTCTAAGTGACTATTAGAACTCAGATAACATCTATCTAGGAGTTGAGCAGCTCAACTTTTTCAAAGCTTATCATTGCCACACTAAACTTATGAAGTAGTGTGTGTGAATATGCTTACACTAGAAAACATCTGAAGATACCCACGAGGTTTTAAGACCATTGTTGCACCACCAGCAAAGCTCAAAATAACTTCAGGAAATATATCAACGGCTCTGCAACATGGATTCAAAATCTTTTAGCAGTTGAATCATTCGAGAGATGACAGTTTTTTATATATACATGAACATAGAGAGGAACTATACCCAGATGCGATATCAAAGCACTGGTAACTCTCGTAGGTAACGGGACGCCCGAACTGTGAAACTGCATTTGAAATCTGCAGGTTAAACGGTTTCTGAGTCTTCTTTTCTTGTAAGGTGTAGTAACATCTCAATAACCATGGCAAAAACTAGACTCACGGCTTGGACGAAAGGAACATAAGCTTCATCGGGAAGATAAGCAAGAGTCGTCCCTGTATCAATTATCGTCCCATCACCAGTGGCTATTGTGAAAACAGATGGATCGATCGGTAATATCTGATTGTTCACAGCAATGCTCTTCAGGTTCACATTATAATGTGGCCTGAAATGTTTTTTTGGCAGCATATTATCTGAATCAAGACGTGGGGTGGTATTACTATTATATACTTTACTCTTTCCTATTCCAAGCTAAACAAATAGCATTTTCCTTTTAGTAGGTTCAGCTACAGAAGTCTTGAGAACTCACTGTGATGTGTATGATAGAGGGATTGAGAACTCACTGTGATGGAACAAGAGGAGTATAGACTGTATCTGGTCTCTTAATCTGACCTAGAACCATTATACCTCCACCGTCTTTATCTCCCTTGAGACAGTGCGAGAACACTCGTGGTGCGAGCCCTTGCGTAGCAAGCTGTGAAATTACAGATAGACGCCCCTGGCCTAACCCAAAGATGCCATCCACTGCTCTCCTAGGCCTCTGTAAGTCTCCAGTTTGTAAATTGCTACACCTGTTTGTCAATATTTAAGATAAGCATCACATAACATGAAAACTAACTAATGAGTGTAACGCAACAACGCACCATATACTCTTAAGGAAATCATCATTATCAAAAGATATCAAATTGTCAAAGAGAATGTTTTTGTAGCTAGCTTACCCGAAGACAAAGGGAGCAGAGGAATTTATAGCCAAGGTACTGGTGATAACAGTATCAAAGGCCATGAAATCTGAGATGTAGTAACCAGAAGTGCCACTTCCATCGCCATACTTGAAAGAATAGGAACAGATATTGTTCGGAGAACATCCCGATTCCGTCTGGAAATTTGAGTAACATCTCCTGTCTGCACATGAAACCATTGAAGCCGAGGAGGAGGTTCCAGGGTCAAAGAAACTTAGCTGAATCTGTAAAACACATCAAAACCACAAAAGAGAGTTAAAAACAAGTGATCACATAGATAAAACCAAGACCATGATAAAAATGGTATTGAGTAAAGTTATAAGAAAGAAAGGTACTTGGAGTTCACTAGTCTTGGGGCAGCCGTTGCAAGACGTGCAGCTAACCCATAAAACATCACTTCCTGTGTCGATTTGCACATTGAATTCTCTTGGGGGTGTCCCAAGTTTAACCTTTGTATAGTAAAGTCTGTGATAAAAGCAAATTAATAGCAACTATATCATAAGATTCTAAAAACGGAATGGGCAAGAGTCGAGAAACAAAAACCAAATGTATTCTGAATACTAATTTGAACACATAATGAGACACTATTCTACAATGCTGCTAACTTTGTTTCCTACATTTAGAATTCAGTCGCGTTCGGTCTTCAAAAGCCAAAGCAAAGTTCAGCTATTTATCTATAATCCCATAATTAATTTATCCGATTCAATTTTGGGTTGGGGGGAAAAAGTTTTCAAATTCAATTCCGGAGACTGTACCAAAAAAAATGAAATTTTTATGGTTCTGGATACCAAAAAAATCTAAAATCGAAATCGGAAAGTGCATGAGCAAATGGGTATTAACAGTAGTACCCGACGAGAAACGGATCGGAGGCTCCATCAACCGGAAAATCAACAACTCCGCCGACAGGAGACTGAAGCAACCTTCCGTGGCGAGCTGAATCAAAAGCCCTGAGCTGAGCCAAACTAAGTTCATGGTTCGGCGGAATCAGCCTCTCGAGCTTGAGAACCGCGTCGGAGCCGCAAACCATGGTTGTCGCAGCATGTAGAAACAAGGCGGCGATGATTACTCCAGTAGGAGAATCCACCGACATTTCTCTGAGTTCGAACTTTCTCTTCCGGGGAAGAGAGAGACTGAGAGAGAAAGCCGCCAAATGAACGTTATGATATTCTGATGACGCTACTTAACTTTTGCACATTTTGGTCATTACTTTAATAAATTTGGGAATTGAAGATTCTTTTTTGACATTTTTGGTAAATGTGATTTCTCAAGTTCACTCCAATAAACTTTAAAATTTGGCAAGAAAAGGAAATAACTGTGCTGATTGACATCCCTTTGCTGTTTTTTAGATACAATGTATCCTTTCGTGGTTAATCTCAGTGGTGCAAAAGGAAAATCTGTGTTCACTATTAAATATTAACGAAGTATGATTAAGTGGAAAGAAGAAAAAAAAGTTGATTCAACTATTTTTTGTTTGTTGCTTAGAAAAAAAGTTTCGGTTGCTAGACTGATGATGTAATGTGTCTATATGCTCCACTAATATGACACATACAAGTACAGATGTAACTTTACTTTTCTTTTGACAGCCACTCTTCTATTTTACTAAAAGGTTAAAAGCAGCAATTGTATAAGAAAAAGGTTTAAGTGAGCAAATATCTAAAAGAGAAATAAGTGAAGAGTGAGAGTGTTGCTCTGTATTAGTCTAAACGTCGAACACCAATACAAATCGGAAGAAATGATTCTCTCTTTGCTTCAAAAGTGCCAATAACACCAATCGAATCAAACTGAAAAATACGAAAGAGAAGAGATAATTTATTGTCTTCTGTGAGCCCTTGTGAAGCTTCGTTGTCCCACTTCTCTTTTGAGATCAATTTGGTACCTCTCATTGTTCTTCCAAGAGAAGTGAGGTGGAAGATAGAAGTTGAGATACTTCCTCTGGAGTTGCTGCTCCAAAACCTTGCCATCTTATTCTTCCAAACTTGTCGAGTAAGAGAATGTACCTGAAACAGAAACAAGTATGCGCAACAGAGATATCAGAAAGGCCAAGTGAATCTACTATGCATTCTTAAATTGATCAAGTGGTGAATTGTCTATACCCGGTGAGAAGATTCAGAACTTTCATTTCCTTTCGAAAGTGATAATGGTCCCCAAATGAGTACGCAATTTGTCTCTGGAGGACACTGTTCTCGCTGTTGTTCGGTTTTTGCAAGACCCGGAGAAGTAGTTTTTTTACTGGTGCCAAGCCCAGCAGCCATTTGTCTATAAATGAAACCTATAATTGCAAGAAGAGAAGTTCGTCTGAAGAGAATGCGAAGGAAAACAGCTGACAGAAAAAGCACTTGTGCAGGTTCTAAAATCTGATCTAAGTATATAAATAACACAAAACGATTCAAGATCAGTACCTCAAACAACTGAAGATCTTTCCTGTCGCCAAACGATTCAAGAAATGGTTTGCTCCACGAGCCGATCATTTCCTGTCAGATTAAGCAACCACATCCCATCAGCAACAAATAAGAACAATGTATCATGCAAATGCAATCCTTGCTTACTAAGCTTAACAAGTGACACTAGTACATATATTTTCATAGAAGCTAACGAAATATTTTCTTTGGGTCCATTGAAGTATATAAGGAATGGTCCGTACCTGAGAGCTTGCTCGGAAAGACAGACACACCAATGATACTTTGGGAACAGCCAAACCCTCTGTGTTGACCTCATTGCCGCTGGAAGTAATAGGCAACTTCATGACTTTTCCATTAGAGAAAGTCACTGCTAATTCCGGAAATTTCATGGCTGACATAGCAGGAATTATAGTCTTACTTGCAGCTGCTATCTGCAAAACACACAGATTCTCGGGTCTTTGATTGTAACTCCTACCGATAAGTGACAGAGTGAAAGAAGAAGTAGCATCATCATCATACCTTGCCGCCATGTTCCTTGAACTCTTTCATATCAGCAAAGTATCCCCGATTCATCTCATCATTACTGCCCTAAATCACATCATATGCCACTAATTAACTTCTCACAGTCAAATCTCGAAATTGAGAGTAAGCTTTTATGAGTAAACCCATGAAAAGAGAATCGAAACTAAACAAAGGGGAAGCTTACAGTCTAGCACGTTCATCGGCAATTGCTTTCTTGTTCCCGAACTACAAAAATCCAAAACAACATCGATAAATAGATAGTCAACGTCTCTCCGGTAGATCGAAATTGGTAATTCATCAAAGTACCTGATAAAAATCGAGGAACGAGCGGGTGGTTGATCGGAGAGCTGGCATTTGCGAAGGGAGAGACTCATGATTCTCGTAGTTGAGATTGAAGAGCCCTTGGTTCTGGTTTCGATACGAGAGAGCAGAGACTGATCTACATTTCTGCTTCATCAATCGATTCAATGTCGTCGCCATTTTCGCGACCTTAAACCCTATTTTGGTTAAAGCTGTAAAAAAAGTCTGCTCGTATAAGGCGAACCAACACGCTTGAACAACGAAGCTAGATCCTGAACCAAATAATAATGTGGCTAACCCGATCAAACCGATAATTTAATCCGGTTTAGACATAGCTACCTTTTAACTTGGCCACTTGGGCTTTCATTTCATTGTGGTTTGCAAGATTCAAATAATTGTAACAATTTTTATCTGGTCGGTATAAATTTTATTTTTGAGTAAATCAAAAACACATTCAAACGATCAAACTTTCACAAATCAGGTTTATATACTTTAACAACGATATTAAAACTCTTTTTAGTTTGCATGGTTTTATACATCCGCAAACAGCTTATACGTATTGGCATCGAGCACAATCTCTCTAACCGCCGCGACCATAGCAATCACACCTAAACTAGAAAAAACCACGGCGATCATAGTGTTGATCCAAAATATGAAACTTTTTTTAGATGGCTTGAACGTCAGGTTGAAGAAGACAACAGGTAGAACAAAGTCTAGAGGCATAAAACCGAAGGCACCTAACAATGAGTTAATATCTCCAAAAAATGGAAGCATCGCCGCAAAGACTGTAGCCAACACGACGAAGAAGGAACGTGCGGCTAGCCGAGGGACGACATTGCGGATAGAGAATTCTTTCTTTGTTGGGTCGCTGAATAAACTTTCCAAAATGTCGTTTATAGGTTGTAGGTACACCTACATAATATATGTGAAAACAATTAACGTTGAATGACGTTGGCTTGATTAATTGTGTACAATATGTTATATACTTACCACAGCAACGGCCGAAAGTTGAAGGACGGTGAAGAGATTGATGAGGAAAATAAACCATGTTGGAACTAAGTAATGGTTTGTCTCAGGGTTTAAGAAATTAGTGAAGATAAGTCCATTGGCTTTATTACCAAATGCCCAATACCCTGTGATGGCTACAGTGAAGAATGTCATTATCACTACAGTGTAACACATACACAATCCTTTCACCATTTTTCCTTTTACAGGAGCAGCCAATGTTGCCTGTATTGCAAAAAAGGTAGAGTATCGTCTACTTACGTATGATTTAACATTTCAAGAAAAAGATAATGAATAAATAAAGAGAGACATAAATGAGACCTGAATTTCGGGTATAATTCCATTGCCGTACGTAGTGGCAATAATAGCCATAGCATTAAAGACTCCAAACACTTTTGTTTCCTTGTCACCAACTATTGTATAATCCTTCTCTGGTCCATTTGATGTAGTTCCTAATCATTAAATGAAAAAAGCGTTACTTAATCCATATTCAACCTGGTTTGAAACCTACTACATATATTTCTTGAAGCATCCCTGTATAGTGGCAAAAATGGAGCATGTGAATCAAACCGAAATAAACGAATCAAAATGTTTTTAAGTTCGTTAAGATGAAAGAGTAACAGGTTTAGCAAAAGAGAGTACCAATGAAGATGGAGGCAGCAACGGAAGAAGCACTATAGAGAAGGCATAGGAGCAGAGAGAAGAAGTTGATGTGTCGCAGAGAGTGAAAAGATGGGATTTGTGCCAAAACCAAGAGTAACGCTCCAAAAAGCATCACAAACGCATAGAGTTTCATTTCACCATTTGGATCCATTGCCAAATACATTGCCTTAAGGCATTGGCCTCCCAAGAGCGCGTTGGCAATAACAACACCATAACACACCGCCATTTGTATTGGCCCCACGTAGAACCTCCCCCATTTCGGCCCTTTACATATCGTATCATCCATCATAAGGTTTAAGAATTGAGACAAAACCAAGCTTATTCTAAGCCAAGCTATAAGTTTCTATTCATTTAGTTTGGTTCAAGTAAATCTATTCTTAATATAAGAAGGGAAAAAAAGGCGAATTCAAATTGATTATAAACTTCACTAGTTTATAGATTGGATCTTAGATAGAGATGTTTTATCCACTATCGCTTATACATATCAGAGTATCTTCTGTCGGCACACCAAATACAAAAAGTGGAGATTTATAAAAATTGGAAGAATTTCTGGAAGATACATTTCAATCTCACAATTTTATTATATTTTTAGCAAAAAGACAAACAACAAAAAAGTGAGCTAGATAGATAGCTAACATATAAACGAAAAAATAGTGAGGCCCGGAGTCGCCTAACAAATCTAAACTGATCGTGGTTTAAATTCGGTTCATTTTCTATGTCAGCCGGAAACATTAAAATATTCCAAGTTGCGTTCCCATACAAATACAAACTTTTCTAACCTACGTTTACTTTATCGTGTGGATGAAATAATTGGAATGGTGAGTGAATGATTGATTATCATCCACAAGTTTCATACAGACACGTATGTGTATGAGTATGACCCGCACCTCAAGAATGAAATTCACAAAGATAAACTTGGTTAACAAAAAAAGACTTACCGAGGATGTGATGTGCCATGTCTCGGAAACGAAGGTAGCGGTGGCCGTGTGAAGCGTGGTGTTGTAGGGTAAGAGAGAGAAGTGTGTACGAGTAGAAAGTCACGGCTGCTCCTCCCACCAAACATGATATTCCGGCTGCCCATCCTAAGAACTTGAATGCGTACGGTAGACTCAGTAGTGCCGGCGCCACTATCGACGTTGTCAAGTGGAATCCGCAGTGCCACCATGTCCCTAGTTTCCATTTCCGTCATAGTCTTTTGTTATTTAATCTCTTGTGATCTATATAACCCGCGTCGATCTAGTATTATTAATCCGCATAATATATAACACGTACCTTTAGATTTAAGGACGAAGAGAGCACCAGCATCAACTTCTTCCCCTCTTTTTCCTTGGTCTCCTGATTTCTCTTCTTCACCCATCTCTCTTTTATCTGTCTCTCTTTCTCTCCACTTGATTACGCTATATGCTTTATAATCAGTTACTGTTATAAGTCCAAAGACCCGTCTCCATCATATAATTTTATATGTGTCGAAACGTGTATCGAAATTTTAACGCATGTATGAGCTGTTTAGTTTTCTAGAAGTGTATGATAAAACAAGAAAATGAGTGGAGTGGAGTACAGAAAATAAGTACATGGGAAACATTATGCATATGTAAGAATTTTAAGTTATGTTATTGAACGTCAATCAAAAGCGTCTGTAGTCCAACGGTTAGGATAATTGCCTTCCAAGCAATAGACCCGGGTTCGACTCCCGGCAGACGCATTTTTTTATTTTGAATTTCAAGGAATTTCCTCCTAAAGGTCAGTGAGACAGTGACAGTGATAAAACAAAGTGCTGGCTGTGGGGTTCGAACCCACGCGCACTTATGTGCAGAAGAACTTAAGTCTTCCCCCTTAACCTCTCGGGCAAACCAGCTTTGATGAAGATGGAAATCATACCTTAAATAATAGAAACCTGAAAACAATTTCTCTACCGTAAAAAAAGCTTCAAAATACAATAATCCCACATCATTTTGCAGTCCAATTATATAATATACATGTTTCTACTGCTTATTTGTCACTACTGGTGCTGAAAATTTGCAGACAAGTCACCTAGTTCTGTGAAGTTCTATCCAAAATTGTTTTAGACTGGACACGAGAGTAGAGAGTAACATTAAATTTATTCCTTTCTCCAAATTTACATTTGCATTTGTATTATAAGGTTACGATGAAGAAGTGTGTGATGTTGAGGATGATGGTGACCAAGGTGTCATATCCATGGGATAACTCCCCAGCACCCGCAAAAACGATGTGAACTCTTGAACCTCCGCTAGCGCATTCTGAGCACGCGCCTCCGCCATTGAGGCCTCGAAATCGATGTAAAACATGTACTCGAAATGTTTCGCTGTCCCAACGTTTGCATCATCGACGAGCCTGATCGGACGGTTGTGATTCGGCCTCGATTCGATCTTCGTCAAGCTGATGTCCCTGAAGGCGAAAGCGGAGAGCACCTTGAAAAGCACGCTGGTGCCTTTCTCATGCGCGAAGACGATGCTCGTCTTGAACGGCCGATCTGTTCTAGGTATGATTGGCTCACGCGCCAGCATCACGAAACGCGTCACGTTACTGGCGTCGTCCTGGATCCCGTCTTCCAAAATCTCCAACCCGTAGATCTCGCCAGCACGTGCGCTCGCAATCGCGGCTGTGTCGCGGAGGTTGTTGGTGGCGATAAACTCAGCGGCTCCTGCTGTGTCGTCGACGGCCTCACGTGCGACGTTGAGTCCAAGCTTTGTAAGCGTGTGCTCGCACTGAGCAAGACCTTGAGGGTGTGAGATCACGCGTGTGAGGAACTCCTTGCGGACGCCGGGAAGAGCCAATAGACAGTGGTGAACAGGGAGCTGCACTTCGCCGACGATGTGGAGCCGATGACGGAGGAGCAGATCGTAATTCCGGTGGATAGAACCACCGAGAGAGTTCTCCACCGGTAAAACAGCGCGATCTGCGATCCAAAGCTCCACCGCTTGAAAGGCTACCTCAAATTGATCGCAAGGCACAGCTTGGCAGTTCGGGTAAGCCTTACCAGCGGCTGCTTCAGAGTAAGCGCCGGGAACGCCTTGATACGCGACGCGAAGATTAGATCCGTGCATCGGAGCTGGCGAGAGATCCGTCATGCTGAGAGGCTTCTGATGCTGCTGGGGGACCAACGGATTGCTATCAGATTTCTCAATCGGGACGAGATTCATTCCTGGGAATCGAGCCCCGTTGTTATGGCCGTTCACGGCAGCCCCATGATTGACTCCGCCGGAAACTGGAGGCACATTTAAGGATTCAGATTGCTCCTGAGAAACAACCTTGCTTGTTAGAATAGCGCAGGAGCTCTGCCATCCAGAACGATTACCACCGCACGAGTCAGATCCCTGTGCGTAGTGTACCAATGGGTTGGATCGCGCCATCCGCGCAGTCGCAGTCACAGTCGCCGGGGCTCCCGACTGGCTAGACCCCAACATCGGCTTCAGACTGGGGGTAGAAGTCGGCGATACAGCTTTCATGCTTAAACAATGGCGTCTAAAGATTGGGACGTCGAGATTAAGGAAATTGGAAAGTGGGAAGAGCAGAAAACAATGTAGTTTGGGTAGTTCGCTTAAGTGGTCAATTCTCCACCTACCACCACCTGCTCCCTCCATTGTTGCCTCCTGCAAGATAAGATTTATTTTCTTCTTTTTGATAATTTAATTATATTATATTTGGACCCAATCCGGTTTAGTTTTTATGACTCAATCTTTTAGTTGAAAATGGACTGTGTATTCATTGCTAAAACATGTACATTAGAGGAGAAATTTAAGAATATGTATGTATAGTTGTATACCCACAAGAGTGTAAATCGGGCACCGACTCTAACAAATGGCAACAATCATGTCTGAAATAATTTACACAAATAAAAGAAATGAAGAAAACTCAATGATGTGCATCAAACCAGAGAACGTTTGTTCTTCTTCATACATACATAACCGGCGACTCTGAAATTTCTCCCCGACACTAATGATGATGCCGAACCATTTAATCATCAGCCTTCCTCTCCAAATTCCTTTGTGAATCTCTCATGGACCTCAAGATCAGACTTGCTCACAGTCGGTCTCTGTCTTGCTAGTACCTTCTCAAAATCTGTTCTTGCGATAGGCGGTGGAATTATCTGTTTTATGTTTTGATGAGTCAAAACAAAAAGAAGCAAGCATAAGCTCTTAGTCTATGTCTATCATCATCAAAACAGCTTCGAGGATAAATGCATACAAACTTTTTGAGGCTTACCTTATCAGCGAGCCCTTTTTCTGCTAACTCCTGCATTGTAATCTGAATGGCACCAGATTGTTTAGGCCCACATGGAATCCACGTCCCATCAGCAGACTTGAAAAAGAACATGGCATCTTGGGTTTTCCTTACAGGTTCGAACAGAACATCCTTTACCTGCAACAACGTAAAAACCACTTAGAACAAATACTTGTTTATTTCCAAGGTTAGAAATGATAACTCAGGCCAAGCCACCTACACAAACAGCCACATCCGAACCAGAAAATCCCTCTGTCCTGCGAGCTAAATATTCAAAATCAGCTTCGTTCAAATTATGAGGGGTGTCTCCCAAATGCACCTGCATCATACAACACGGATATCATTAGGCAAAAGGAAAACGATTGGGTTAATCCAAAATGAGGAACGTTTAGATTTAGAAGAGTCAGTATAATACTTTGAACATATGCTGCCGAGCCTTCACATCCGGTAGAAGGGATATAGATACGCTTATCAAAACGTCGCCTAATAGCCTGTAATCAACATAATCTTTTAATTCTAGAGCTGGCAAAAAAGAATGCTAAAAGCCAAATCACTCTTATGAATTTCACCTGATCAAGAGCATACGGTGTATTTGTTGCTGCCAGAACGAGCACTTTCTCATCATTGTGTCCAACACCCTAAATTAAGAGAGAGAGGGAGAGGGAGAAGTCACGTTTCTGCTAATAATTCAATTCCATAAGGTTTGCATCTATTAACCTTTTCACCTGCATCTGAACAAGCAGCTCTGTTTTAATACGTCTTGAAGCTTCGCTCTCGTTGCCTTCTCCACGTTGACCACACAAAGAATCTATCTCATCGACGAAAATGATTGACGGAGCACTCTCACGGGCTATCTCAAAAAGGTTCGATACTAGCTTCTCACTTTCACCCATCCACTTCGACACCAAGTCCGACGAAGACACACTAATGGTTGGGAGGCAAAACGAATACAAGTATTCAAAACACAGTAATCAGAATATCCACCGGAGAGAGAGAGGCAACAAACGTATGTTACCTGAAAAATGTAGAGTCTGCTTCAGTAGCAACAGCCTTGGCCAGGTACGATTTCCCAGTTCCAGGAGGCCCATAGAGGAGAAAAGCTCGCCACGGCCGTCTCTTTCCTAATTATATAACAATCAAATCTGATTCAGGCTCTCTAATACATCGACGAATCCAATAAAGTACGAACATTTACCAGTGAAGAACTGTGGGAACTTGACGGGCAAAATGACAGCTTCCTGCAACGCCTGCTTGGCACTTTCAAGGCCAGCAACATCCGTCCACTTCACATTAGGCTTTTCCCTCACGATAGCAGAGTCTAACCCAGCTCGGAGCTTCGATTGCTCCGGATCCTCTCCATCTCCTCCGCCCTCTCCGCCTTTGGGCTTGGACTTCGGCTTTGTGGCGACCGCTGCGTCTCCGTTCGATCCGGGACCGGATCCACCTCCGTCTAGAACAGCGCGGATCTCCTCGGCGCGGCGGAGGTATTCGGTGAATTTGTGGGTGATAGCTTCTCTGATCTTAGGGTTCTTCGCGTACTTGAGATGGGTTTTGAAGTACTCGAGCGCGTTCATGTACAAAGGGAAAGCCTTGCTGTAATTTCCGGCATTGTCCTCTTGAACCGCTTGCTTAACATACTCAATCGCTTGTTCCTTGAAATTGCTGTACATAATTTAGGGTTTACAGGAATCAATGATGAACTGAGAATTGAAAGGTTAATCGAAAAATTCAGATGATGGAGGATCGAAGGAACCCTATATAGAGCCGTGGATCAGATATTTTCCCAGATAAAAAAGGAAACCATATGATTGGAGGACTCTGTGACAGAGAATGAGGAAGGAAAGGCTACACGATTCTTGTCTCTTTTCCAGAAATGGAAATTTTGACGTTGAGGCAAAAAAAAATTCTAAGAAACAACCGAGTGTTTGTGTGTAGAACATAAAAACGTCGAGGCGTCTGACTTGTTTCTGGCGGGTGAGACGAATTTCTAACTGTTTTTATAAATGACAAGGAACGTACTCGCCGTTAGTAAAAGGAAAACTGAGTTTAAATCCTAACTCAAACTAAATTAATAGAGTCCGTTCGTAGTAGTTTGGGCCAAGCCCGCCGACAAAAAAGCCTAGTTAACCAACGAATGGTTTAGCAAAATTAAATTGTTACCCGATTCGGAGTTAAAGAAGTTTGCTGACGGCAACAAACTACCACAGACTCTCTCTCCTCCAACTCTAAAGTGTACGGGGCACACAACAAAGAGAGAAAGAATGAGAGAGTGAGAGAGAATGAGAGTGAGAGAGAGTAATGATTTGTTTGTTTAATGTTGGTTGAAATGGATCTACCCTCCTTCAGATCTCCATTATAGGTCTGCCATATCTCACCCAACTTTATTTGAATTATCATTCTCTCCTCAGCACCAATGTCGTCTTCCCTCTCTTTGACTTCAATTTCACACAAACCCATCTCTTCACCTTCCTCTCTTTCTTCCACCTTCTTCTGATAATGAACTCACCATATCTTCTGAGATTCACAATTTAATTATTCTTATTATAGCTTTGGTATAAGATTTTGATTTACAGATTTTTTTAATACCCGATTACGACCCTGATGATAACCATCTCAAGATCCGACCCGCGCCGCCTTTTTTGGGGGCTCTTAGCTTCCTCGTTCACGGCGTCGACGATGAAACGATCCGTTCGGCCTCTCTTCAGCGCTCTCTTCTTCGGCTTCCTCGCCGCCACACTCATCTGCAGAGTCGCGATTCGCCGGAGAAGCTTCTCCTTCAGCTCCGCCATAGCTGAGCTCGGCAACTCCGGCCTCATGACGGAGGAACTCGTATTCAACGAGACACTGCTCGAATTCGCCGCCATTGATCCCGGCGAGCCCAAATTCAAGCAGGAGGTCGATCTGATTTCCGATTACGACAACACTCGGAGAAGCCACCGCCGCTATTTCAGCTCCATGTCAAGGCCGATCGACGGCCGCCGCCGTGGAAACCGTAACGACATCACTTCCAATTTCCCGGTAACGCTTCGCTCCCCTCAGGTATATCGTTACTGGTCAGAATTCAGGAGAAATCTACAGCTCTGGGCTCGTAGAAAAGCTTACGAACCCGATATCATGCTAGATTTGGTCAGACTGGTCAAAATTCCGATCGATTCTCACTCCATTTCGAGTAAAAGATATTCATCTTGCGCCGTAGTTGGGAATAGCGGCACATTGCTTAATCGCCAATACGGAGATCTCATAGATAAACACGAGATTGTGATCCGCATGAACAATGCCAAAACGCAGAGGTTCGAGAAGAAGGTGGGATCCAAAACGAACATATCATTCATAAACAGCAACATTTTGAATCAGTGTGCGAGAAAGGAAAGCTGCAATTGCCATCCGTATGGAGAAACAGTGCCTATCGTCATGTACATTTGCCAGCCGATTCACGTTTTGGATTACACAGTTTGCAAACGCTCTCACCGAGCTCCTCTGGTTATCACGGATCCGAGATTCGATGTCCTCTGTGCTAGGATCGTCAAGTATTACTCGGTGAAGAGGTTCTTGGAAGAGAAGACAGCGAAAGGGTTTAAAGATTGGAGTAAAGATCACGAAGGCTCCTTGTTTCACTACTCGTCGGGTATGCAGGCTGTGATGCTTGCGGTTGGAGTTTGTGAGAAAGTTAGCGTTTTCGGGTTTGGGAAGATGAATTCGAGCAAGCACCATTACCATACTAATCAGAAAGCAGAGCTTAAGCTTCATGACTATGAAGCGGAGTATAAACTGTATCGCGACTTGGAATACAATCCCAGGGCCATTCCCTTCTTGCCGAAAGCATTCAAGATCCCTTTGGTTAAAGTTTACCATTGAAAATAGTTATATACCATCAAGAGTTTTGTCATAGAGTTGTCTTCAAGCAAAGAAGCTTCTTGGCAAGAGTTTTACTTAGCTCTGTCGTTTTGTCTATAGGCTCTAAAGATTTTGCTTGAGATTGAGCAATGGAGACGACCACTTATCCAATTGTTAAGTGTGGTCTTTTACAGTTTAGATTTGTGGTGTCACACATATTGAAATATATGGTAAATTTTGACGATTTTCTTACATATATCAATTTGTAAGGTCTTTCAAATTTTGACGACATTCATATGTTGATTCATACATAAACAAAAGTTTGATTCATCTGAACAACAATAAGATCTTAAAAAGTACATGATATATAATGAGAAGAGATACAATAGGAAGAGTCTCTATTAATTGAGGATTACCGTACAATAAGGAAGTGAAGCACACCAATTTTCTCTTCTAATACAAATATATGAGTGAGAGAAACAGAAAATTCACGTGCTTCACAAAATTCCAAAGAGATAAACACCATTATTAAAGAAAGAAAGCCCTAATTAAGACTGAAATCAAACTTATTTTACTAATCACTAAGATAACTAGGGGATTACACGAGCCACAAAATGCTCCCCGACAAATACATCCCTCGGCAAAGAGAAGTTTTTGTTAGTGAGCATCATTAAGTCACCTTTTTTTTTCTTTAAGGTTATTACTTAAGTAGCCAAAATCCCCTACCAAACCAAGACAAGACTCCTAAAGATGTCACGTGCATAGTAAGTAACATACCAATACTCAAACCCAAATCTCAAATTATTTTCTTAAAATGCTATTACTTAGACATACACCGGGTTCCATAATCCTAACCATACCTCCAGAAAAAAGATCTAAATTTTAAAATGTTGCTTCATTTCCTTTAGTAAATTTCTATATTTGATATGTCGAGTCTAACAAAGAATTTCTCCTTTTACAAGATAAAAATTGTTTGGTAGACTTGAGATGTTTTGTGGTGCAACTATTATACTGATGAAGCAACATTAGAAAATTCGGATCTTACCCATCGGTCGGTCCATGATTCCAAACGCTCCCCCAGTGTTTTATCTTAACATGGCTCTTGATCACTCCGTGGTGACACATTCCGTATCCTCCTCAAACCCGTTAAACGAAAGAGACGGATTAGGAGAATGTCCATGGCCAAAGGACCTGATATGATCCTTGAGAGACCTCTTGTGCTTGAAATCTGATCCACATGTGCAATACCAAAGCTTTCCGCAGTTCTTCTCATGGGTTCTCCAATCGCCTTTCACGGCCAAGGCTTTGCCGCATTTTCCACAAGAGAAGGGTTTTGAGCCATGCTTACGTTTGTAATGTGTCTGAAGTGTACGGAAGTCCTTCAAGGGCTTAGACCGTGGATGGTTAATGTTGTTCTTGCATCCCTCGGCACAACAATAACATGGCAGCCGAAGAATAGCCGCAGGTTGGGTTGTGCCCTTCAAGGAATCAGCTCCTTTTCTAAATTCGGATCCATGTCCCCACATATGCATCTGTGTTAAATACATAGGATTCATTAGAACATAAGAGTAGTTAATTAATGTGAATAACTTCTCCGCTTACATATCTTCTATATTATCATTTGTTGATTAACCTTTGTAGTTTGAGAAGGTTAAACAAATTTTCTTTGTTTCGAATTTAAGTTGGGACCGAAATAATTAAGTTTATCTGGAAAAAGGTAAAGGAGAGAATCCGAAGTAAAAATATAGAAACAAATGCAATGATACTTACGTCGAAGTCTTTTACTCAGATGATCATTAAGTTATGTAATCGATTGCATATATTCAGTAAAAGCAGTATGATCATTGTTTTTTTATGTTCTCCCCTTTTTGTTTCTTGCTGAATTATACTTTACCAAATCCCACTCTTATTCTTTTGCTTTTTGGCTTTTCAACCAAAAGGCCAGACAAACAATGAAAAAAGTCAAAAGATTTTCGAAGATTTCTCAACTAATCCAGAATTTATATAACCAAATATCCTTCTTTTAGTTGATTTGGGATTGTATATCTACTACGATGATTCACCAACCGAGATTGCTATCGTAATAATAAGGTCATCAAAGTACAAAATCAACTATTTTAATTTATTTATAAAATAACCCTAAGTGAAACACCCTATGAGTATGAATGCTAGAATGGACAAAGGCAAAGGTAAAGCTGACACAGTGATACTGTTTATTTGTTTGTTAAGATGACATATAGTGATAATGCATGTTTGACATGAAAGATTGGTAAGCAAATTAATATTCATGGGAAGTGGATTTGTAACAAAGCATATAAGATCGATAAAGATGACAAGAGAAGACGTACTTGCATGTTATTGTATCTATTGAAGGTTTTGCTGCAAATAGAGCATGCAAATTGCATTGGACCGACGTGAATCTGAGCGGGACTTGGAACCCAGAACCTCTTTCCACAGACTCCCATATCATAATCAGTCATCTCCTCATCAACAAACTTCATGTTCCTCCTCTTCTTCATCATCACCACACCATCTTCTATGATCTCTCTCTTGATGGGTTTCTTCTGATAATCGGAAGTTGTGTCAGAGTCATCCTCCGCCGAGTTACCACGGTGATAGTTAGGCAATCCGATTTGGAGAGTAACCACATCATCATCCTTCTCTTCCTTGATATCAGCCAAGGCTTGACTTTTATTTTCCGTGAGCTTGTTTAGAAGAGGCAAGCATTGAATAGACGTGGTGTTTGTGTTGAGTAGCTCTTGTGGTTGGTATAAGAAAAGAGATTGCTCCAACATGTTCATCTGACTCTGGCGATGATTAGATCTTGACATAACATCTTTTGTCTTCATACGTAATAAGACAGGAGTAGAAGATGGAGGCTTAAGCCATTCAATGAAGCTTGGAGATTCAAAACTTAAACCCTTGTCATGTGGATTCATCAAACTCATCTCTCTCCCTCTCTCTCTCTCCTCTCTCTCTCTCTCTCCAAAAAAATGGGTTAGATTTAGTAGGAAAAGGTTATAAATCAACCTTCCTGATGTGTATAGATTCGTCAAAATAGGTCATTTCCCTTTTTTTCTCCAATTCAAATACTTCTTTTGTAAAGTTTTGTTTTTTCGTCCTACCCCAACACGTATGTATGTAGTTAAGTCGACGTTCGCACGTGTCTACGCGTTTACACTCACGGGAAAAAGAGTGTAGTTTTCTTCATAAAAATGGTGGTGGGTCTTACTTCACATAGTGCTAAAGGAAACGCACAAACACAAGGCTTTTCAATGAAAGAGAATCCTAAGACTCAGAGCTATTCATTGAGCCATTTTTTTCTTCTTTACCCGCTTTTCCTTTCCCATTATTATATACTACAGTATGTAACATCTTAAACCAACAAATACGATATCCTTTCATCATATTATAGTCATAATTATCTATAAGTGCATATAGACCGGCGAAGACAAAATCCATCATTACATAAAACCAACAATTTCAACATCATTTTAGCCGTCTTTTTAGGGACAAATGATAAAAGCTTTTACTATACAATCACGCGTTCTCTTTTATTGACGTTTGTTAATTCAAGTAGGAGATTACACGAATTATTTGATTATTTATTCTACTAATTTTCATACGGTACTAGAGTTTTCTGTGACTCAATCCATGATTTACATTGAATTTAAAGATATTAAGAGAATGAGGTAGTGGAGTTTGAAAAAGAGAACAAAAGGAAAGAGCGGGAGGATCTTCACCACAAGCAGTTTAGTCAACACCTGAAGGAATAAAATACTCAAAATGACATATTAATTAACTAATCTGAAGTACAGTCGTCATGAAGTCGAAACTACAAGCTTATTCAATGTATCTCTCAATTATAGCGGGGTATTTTGGTCCATTTTGTTTTGTCATCATGTACGTTTTGTAAAATGTACACCAACCATCCAAAACAATTTTATGGCCCATTAAACTACTGAGTATTTTAGAAACCGGTACGTTTGACCTTAAACCGAAACCTGCCGAATACCGGGCTCAGTTGAAAAACCCTTTCTCTCGTCTTCTCCGGTAGTTACCTTTTGTAAAGTACGGTGTCCGCTTTCCCGCGCCGACCAATGCAAGGGAATCGCGGCGGCTCGTGGTCCACAGGCGCCTCCGCGAATGGTGGAAGCGGAAACGGAAACCGAAACGCTGGATATCTTCCTCAACCAACTCGTGTTTTTTCCAATTTCAGTGTCCAACAACCAATTGGATACAATCTCCAGACTCAGCACAATCTCAATTTCCCTCATCCGCAAATCCTTACCTTCCTTCCTCACCAATTCGGCGCTGGCGCTAATGTATTCCTTCAACCCCATGGACATCGCGGTGATAATAGTGGGTCTCGCATCCATGGATCGTCTTCCTCGAAATCAAGGCGCAATGTAGACGTTCTGCGAATTGATAAAACCGTCATCAATACGCGTCAATCACGGGTTGCTTCTGGAGAGAGCGTTTCTTCTACTAAAGTGTCGCAATTGGTTCTATCACAGCTTCACGCTCCTTCTTGGTGTTCCTATGGATTGCAAGTCCAAGATGTTCCTTCGCTTCACCAACTTATGACACTCGAAGGCAAGGTCAAAATTTCAAACTTTTCCACCTCAATTATGTCTAAGGCTGATTCCTTTTTTCTTTGAACCCTTTAGCAATTTATGTAATTTTTTTTATGTCTTGTAGATTAATGCATTCATTCACTGCTTCATTGGTGCTAGAAGAATCGTGACCCTGCATGATTTGGAAGTAGCAATATGCCGAAACGAGTTGGTCGAATGTTTTGATGATCTTGAATTGGGACCTTTGCTGCAGCATCCACTAGTCTTGCTCTATTTTCCATCTTTATCCGGATCCACTAGTCTTGTTCAGATCACTAGTGAGGAGATAATTTCATTTCTTGATAGCTATTTGAACACTTACGATACGGACGATGTTAAGCTCGACGAATTCCTGAGTTTTGTTGCTGAGGGAAAGTCAGTTACAAGCAAGGAAAAGCTTGGCGTGCGTATTCAGAGCTTGGGGTATGAATATGATATTCAAAACTTGTTCCTTGTATAAACTGCTTTTATCTGATAATATGTGATGAAATGCATTTCTCTTAGGATGTATGTGACTTTTATTCAAGACGCGAAGAGACAAGAAGGCGACACGTTGAAGATCTTTCTGACTGAGCTGCATCAGAAGTATCACATGGTCTCATCAGAGAAACAACGGAAAGATGGATCCGTTACTGTCTCTGAGCATGCTGATTACTGTGGCAAGCATACTAGATTTGATTCGTCGAGCTCGGATGACAGTGATAGAGATGATTTCGAGGTCGAGAATGTTTGTAGTTCTGATCGTTTGAGTAGCTGTCCATATCCATCTGTTGCAGAAGAGATGAAGCGATCTAAAAAGAAAAGGAAGGCTGAGAGTTGTAATCATGAAAAGTCTAAGCTTAAAAGAGTCCCATCTAAATTACATAGAAGAGATGCGAAACAAGAGACAACTAAATCGGCGGATGACTATGTCGCTGTGAGTTTCAAAGCTTTTTTGCATATTTCCTCTATGACTTCCTGAGATGCATTTTTTGTCTTTCTTCCTTTGTTTTTATTAATTCGATTGAAGATTTTTGTTAGCAAGTCTCTGCTAATGCCTCATAACCTCACTGTTTTCTAGTGCCTCTTCTCTTTATACCTCATTTTCAATCAAAGCTAGACCCTTTCCAATCATACTTCTACAACTACTTGGTTTTAAGCTGTTAATCTTGTTGTTGTTTTTCTTCCTTCTTGTGCTCTTTTTGGTTTGTTTGTTTCTGTGTGTCTCAAGCTTCCCTGCTCTTGCGCTGAGACTTAAGCACCCAGTTGCAAAGTCTTGGAGTTAAGTTAAGCAAATGTAACAGCTTCCCTAGCTCAGCGTTGCTCTTTGATTCTGCTTCTGCAAATCACAATGTCACTGAGGCAAGGCTGAAAAAGGATAAAAATTTGCGTCCCTTGTCACCTCCAGTCCCAATTTCATCTACATGTTTTGCTTCTTTAATGACTTAATGCAATCCTTCCAAGATCTCAGGTTGCAGATTATGAAACTGAGACATGGTTGCATTTTTTGTAAATTTCCCTTGCTATATCTTCTTACACCTGAATTTGGCATGGAGTTTGTAGCATCTCAATTTTCTTTTCACCTGTTTTGCACGACGTAAAAAGCTGCAGATATCTGCTGTAATTGAGCCGTGACTTTATTCTTTTTCCCCCTCATTTTAATCAGAAGGAGCTTGTAACAGAGGCTCTTGAGGAACATAAGCCGATTGAGACCGTTGCTGGAAATGAAAACTGTGGAGGCACAAGTTCACGAGCCAATAAGCCAAGCCCGTTGCGTCCTATGCCCATGAAGAGTGGCTCAGCGTCAGGAAATCTTGTTCACGAATGGAACAACTCCGATTTCAGCGTAAGGGATCATCAGTTTCACACAGGCGGCACACATTGGGCTGCACAGGCGCAACAGACCGGAAAAAAAGGTGAAGAAATCGCTTACAGATACTTCGCTGCAAAATACGGCAAGGAGGCTGTGGTTAGATGGGTTAACGAGCAGAGCGAAACCGGTTTACCTTACGACCTAGTCATCCAAAACCGAAACGGCGGGAAGAAAGAGTACGTGGAGGTGAAGGCAACTGTATCCACAGGGAAAGACTGTTTCAATTTTACTGTGAGCGAATGGCAATTCGCAAATGAGAAAGGAGAGAGTTACGTTATCGCTCACGTTTTGTTAGGCAACAGTAACGCCATCATCACACAACATAGGAACCTTGTCAGATTGTGCCAAGAAGGTCATCTCCGGTTATTGATTCTCATGCTCAACCAGCGAAACCAAGTCAACGTTGCATTTTAAAACCCAAAATTCAGTTTCTTTTGTTACTAAATTTGTTTACTTGATGAGATTATTATGGCAAGTAAAGTTTCAGAATTCGTATGCGTATGTAAAAGCTAACTTGTGGGAGAAGCAAGACTGAGATAGGGTGAGTTGGCATTGGAGTGAACTTAAGTAATATGCAAAAGACAGCGAAAATGATAAAATTTGAAGAATGGTTTTGCTTGCTTCTTTAATCTTTATTCATTCAAAAATTTACTATAAATCATGGTCATCTACTGCACATAGAGATCAGATTTACGAAAACGACCGGTTTGGTGTTCCTCCCAAAATTTCGGTTTGTCCAACAACTTGTGATGTTCTTGGTTTTGCCACACCCAAATTCATTTTGAGTGGTATATTATATATGTCTCTTCTTGTAGGTGACTGTATGATGGGGGAATCTTGTGCAAATCCGAATAGAGTGAAGCTTCGGGATGGGAGATTCTTAGCTTATAGAGAAGGAGGAGTTCCAAAGGAGGAAGCCAAATTCAAGATCATTCTTGTTCATGCCTTTGGAAGCTCCAAATATATGTATTTCCCCGCATCAAAGGTGCAAATGGATGTTTCAAAAAGTGTTATTATTTCTGATGATCCTTGAAACAAAACAAATTAAACAAGGGAAAAATCTCATTTGGAGTTAGTTTTGCAGGAGCTGATAGAAGAGCTTGGTGTGTATTGTATCTTCTACGACCGTGTCGGATATGGAGAATCGGATTCAAACGCGAAACATTCGGTGAAAAGCGAAGTCGATGACATGGCAGAACTTGCAGATCAGCTGGAGATAGGACCCAAGTTTTACCTAGTTGGAGTTTCCCTTGGAGCTTACCCAATGTGGGGTTCCTTGAAACACATACCTCACAGGCAATCTAGAAGGAGAAATTAAGAAAGGGTTTTTTTTTTTTAATTAAATAATTGGTGACAAATAAAAGTATATTATATTCTGTCTTGTTTAATATTGCAGGCTATCGGGCGTGGCTTTTGTTTCTCCGCCGGTGAATTATCTGTGGCCTTCACTTCCTGAGAAGCTTACAAAGAAAGATTACAGGAGACGTCTTTTAAAATGGTTTTTGTGGATTTCGAAAAATGCACCTGGATTGATACATTTCTGGGTTTTCGAAAACCTCTTCCTATCAATTAAGTCGATCTACTTCAGTAGATTCCGCAAGCGAACAACTAATAGTCCCCTGCGTCCTAAGGTCAGCCCTTAGTTTTTCTCCAACTTG